GGGCATAATCTATCCTTCAAATTTGACATTACTGCGCGAGTCTTGATTTTGGCAGGGGATTCAATGTTAATAACACAAATGCAGGTTTTAATGAATTTTAGGTTTTTTATGTGCTGGAAATTTTTAGTTAATGCATTTCTATATCGTAACTAGGTCTACTACATCCCGATTATCATTCGCGTCTCGTTCGAGACTCATACAGCCGTACAAGCGGTTTCGGTGCTCGCGCGCATTCGTCCTTAGTCACACGCATTCCGCCCCCATTGTGCGTAGTACGACTAATTGTCCGTAAGTGTAAATATGGACTTGTATTTTTTTTTTGTGTTCACTAAATGCTTCAATTAAAATGAGCGTCTGTTTCGGATTAAGCTGGCTTTTGTTTTTTTTTTATTTTTTTTTATTAAGTTTGTATTCTTCTGTCGACAATGCTTCCGAGCTTTGAACGCAGTTAGTAAATGTAATGCTGCATAGTTACGAATTAATTATTGATTTTTGGACTTATTATGACGTGGACATGAACATAATTCATGCCAACACTATTTTGGATTTGACGTGGTCTACTCATCCGTAATGTTATGTCAATAAATCTTGAATTAAAAATTGAGTGGTTCACAAAGTTATGAAATCAACGTCTTGATTCCAGAACAATCTAACACATTTCAACATCTTAAAATGTCAGAACTCGGTTTTAAGGAGAAAACGTAATGAAAACAGCATCGTCCTTAGACGCGCGGAGGGAAGGAGGAACTTTAGGAAAATATCGTAACAAATTAATAACTAATAATATAATATATAGATGCATTTGAAAAGAGAAAACGGGATTCGCCATAATTACCACGGTCACTTAGTAGTCTATAATAAGGCTCGCAATTGTGGTTTTGGTAGTAAACTTGAAAAGAGAACCCGGAATTCGCTGTTGGAACTGCGGGCATTTCGTCGTCGATAAAGTTCGCACCGATTCGATTCCTGTTTTGGTAGTAGATTTGAAAAGAGAACACAGGATTCGCTGTTGGAATTGCGGGCACTCTGCAGTCGATAAACATAGCAACAATTCGATTATTGTTGTAGGTTTTGGTAGTAGTTTTGAAAAGAGAACACATGATTCGCTGTTGGAATCGCGGGCACTCCGTAGTCGATAAACTTCGCAATGATTCGATTCATGTTCTGGTGGTAGTTTTGAAAAGAGAACACACGATTCGCTGTTGGAATCGCGGGCACTCCGTAGTCGATAAACTTCGCAACAATTCGATTATGGTTTTAGTAGTAGTTTTGAAAAGAGAACACGGGATTCGCTGTTGGAACCGCGAGCACTCCGTAGTCGATAATCTTCGCAACAATTCGATTATGGTTTTGGTAGTAGTTTTGAAAAGAGAACACAGGATTCGCTGTTGGAACCGCGGGCACTCCGTAGTCGATAAACTTCGCAACAATTCGATTATGGTTTTGGTAGTAGTTTTGAAAAGAGAACACAGGATTCGCTGTTGGAATCGCGAGCACTCCGTAGTCGATAAACCTCGCAATAATGCCGATTCTTGTTTTGGTAGTAGATTTGAAAAGAGAAGACAGGATTCGCTGTTGGAATCGCGGGCACTCCGCAGTCGATAAACTTCGCAATAATTCGATTCATGTTCTGGTAGTAGTTTTGAAAATAGAACACGGGATTCGCTGTTGGAATCGCGGGCACTCCGTAATCGATAAACTTCGCGATAATTCGATTCATGTTTTGGTAGTAGTTTTGAAAATAGAACACAGGATTCGCTGTTGGAATCGCGGGCACTCCGTAGTCAACAAACTTCGCAACAATTCGATTATGGTTTTAGTAGTAGTTTTGAAAAGAGAACACAGGATTCGCTGTTGGAATCGCGGGCACTCCGCAGTCGATAAACTTCGCACCAATTCGATTCATGTTCTGGTGGTAGTTTTGAAAAGAGAATGCGGTATCCGCTGTTGGAATCGCGGGCATAAAGTATTCGATAAAGTTCCCAACAATTCGATTCTTGTTTTGGTAATCATATTGTACCAAATTAGAATTTCGAATCCTATAAGGGATCGCATTTGCAGGATGTGCCAATAAGTATGCGCACTTGTTATTCATTATGTCATATTGTAATAGAATTTCGTATCATTAACGGCTTTTCATTAGGTAGCGTTAGAGCTAATTGTGCACGTAAAAGTTGAACATTCATCATTATGTCGCTTAATGTACGACATAATGACCAAAGAGAACTCTTTAGGTGTGTAGTATGGTAGTAGTAGTAGTAGTAGTAGGTTCAATTTGAAAAGGCGACACGACATGAGAACCCTCTTGTCGTGGCCGCTGGAAACTACATACCCGATCTTGTAGACCGAATGGTAAACAGTCGCCCAAAACACGTCATTACGGATCCCCCCGATCCATTAACGGTGCTTTTAGGTACCACAAGCACCGGTCACCGTCCTCGTCGAACCCGTCGCTTGCGACGAAGGCCTCGACGAGCGAATTAACCCATAGACACAGCCCACTGAGTTTCTCGCCGAATCTTCTAAGTGGGCCGCGTTTCCGATCCGGCGGTAGATTGTGCGAAGCACTGCTCTTGCTAGGGTCAGTGTTAGCATCACTCCGGTTTGAGCCCCGTGAGCTCACCTATTAGTTAAGGTTACGATGAAATAGCCTCTCAAGGCTATCAGCTTAGGTAGGAAAAAAAGTATTAGGTAGTAATCTAAGGTAGTAATGTGGTAGTAGTAGGTAATAATATAAGAGGTAATGACCAACGAGAACTATTTCGTTGTGTAGTGTAGTAGTAAGTAGTGAGTATAAAAAAGGGATCTTGCCCGTTCTTCCCTCATATAGCCTAGCCAAAAGAAATGCGTTGGTTTTTCCTTGAATTTCGAGCAAAACAAATCTTACCTATATTGACCAATACACTCGAATATCAAAACGTGACGTCACATGCAAAAATACACGTCTGTCTTACTTAACACATAATTACGCGAACGATCATGAATTCACACGATTATTGAAGCTACTTCAAGGAAACTTGGTTTATTTAACATCAGGATTACGTCACTGTTTAGTCAAAGATAGTGTTGACCGGATGAGCGGGAAGTGCACGTGAGCAAATGCTAATTCGTCTATAAATTCGTCAAAATCCTTTTTAGTGTACTGGTGGTAGAACCTCTTGTGAGTCCGCGCGGGTGGGTACCATCACTTTGCCTATTTCTGCCGTGAAGCAGTAATGCGTTTCGGTTTGAAGGGCGGGGCAGCCGTTGTAACTATACTGAGACCTTAGAACTTATATCTCAGGGTGGTTGGCGCGTTTACGTTGTAGATGTCTATGGGTTCCAGTAACCACTTAACACCAGGTGGGCTGTGAGCTCGTCCACCCATCTAAGCAATAAAAAATAAATAAAAAGTGTACGGTGATCTGATGGTGAGTGTTTACCGTTTGGTCATAGAGGTCTATAATGCCAAAGGCAGAGTCGAGACGCTGCCAATCACCGAGTACTCTACGTAAATGCCTTTTAAGAACATGTTTTTTTTATTGCTTAGATGGGTGGACGAGCTCACAGCCCACATGGTGCTCAGTGGTTACTGGAGCCCATAGACATCTACGACGTAAATGCGCCATCCACCTCGAGATATAAGTTCTAAGGTCTCAAGTATAGTTACAAGTTATGTCATAGCATTCAGAAAATATCGGGAACTTGAGATGACCCGGTCATCCTACTATTGTACCACTCACTATTTCCATAGATATTTTTTGTTGCGTTCCAGAAAGGTTCAATTTTACCCAGCGAATTAGCTATTTTTAAAGCAAAAAAGCAAAGGGCCCAAAATAAACATTGAGATGTGAAAGGGCTATTTGGCTTAAGCGACATCTCGCTTAATACGCGACGTCTATCTTTGTAATCAAAGGTCCGTCTAATTTGGTATTAGTATCTACAATTCACCGGTCACCGTTCTCGTCGAACCCGTCGCTTGCGACGAAGGGCTCGACGAGTAAATTAACCCTCAGACACAGCCCACTGAGTTTCTCGCCGGATCTTCTCAGTGGGTCGCGTTTCCGATCCGGTGGTAGATTCTGCGAAGCACGGCTCTTGCTAGGGTTCGTGTTAGCAACGTCGTCAGGTTTGAGCCCCGTGAGCTCANGGTCATCCTACTATTGTACCACTCACTATTTCCATAGATATTTTTTGTTGCGTTCCAGAAAGGTTCAATTTTACCCAGCGAATTAGCTATTTTTAAAGCAAAAAAGCAAAGGGCCCAAAATAAACATTGAGATGTGAAAGGGCTATTTGGCTTAAGCGACATCTCGCTTAATACGCGACGTCTATCTTTGTAATCAAAGGTCCGTCTAATTTGGTATTAGTATCTACAATTCACCGGTCACCGTTCTCGTCGAACCCGTCGCTTGCGACGAAGGGCTCGACGAGTAAATTAACCCTCAGACACAGCCCACTGAGTTTCTCGCCGGATCTTCTCAGTGGGTCGCGTTTCCGATCCGGTGGTAGATTCTGCGAAGCACGGCTCTTGCTAGGGTTCGTGTTAGCAACGTCGTCAGGTTTGAGCCCCGTGAGCTCATCTACTAGTTAAGGTTACGCTGGAATAGCCTCTCAAGGTTACCAGCTTAGGTAGGAAAAAAAATACAATTCAATGTTTGTTATTGACCTTCAATTAAGCTTAATCCATTCATATAGCTGAAGAAGTTTTTTTGTAAGGACATATTTTTTTCAAATTTCGAATTTTAAATGGCTCCCCTGTAAAATTGTAAAGCGTCGCTTAAACCAAATAGACTTTCACCATTCGCTTTTCTTTAGTTCGCCAGTTCTTTAGTTTTATTGTGATTATGGCTGAAGTCGAAAATTTCCATAGTAAATTTAATTTTGATCGTATTATTAATATATTATTTAATAGATTATTTATTATGGAATGCCCAGTGAAGAAATGTTGCTTAAATCGCCTTTCACCCCTCGATATGGTAACGTATATTATGGTAATCCATTAATTACTTTGCCCGCAGCAATATACAATTTCACAAGCAAATCCCAGTCACATCTCCCTCTGGAAGTGGGCGAGCTCGTTCATCTCGAAGGTGAAACGGAAGAGTGGTATTGCGGTCAGAGCCTCCGGAGGGACCTCAAAGGCGCATTCCCAAAGAGCTATGTCGTCAAGAGGGATTGCGTTGTTGACAGGTAAGCTATATTGTGCTTCTATGAAATAATTGTAAATAGACAGGCTTTTTGCAACAAAAACCGACTTCAAATAGAAAAAAAAGATATTCCAAAACAAATTAATATACACTAAAAACAATTATAATCATCGAAATCGGATGGCGTGTTATTGAGTTATTGAGTTATTCATCTATTTGTCGCGCACGTACTTAATGCAAATTTAAGACTTATATGGTTTTCTCATGGATACCATTATCAGAACTGGACTAAATTGAAATGGGACCACACGGGAAGCGTAAGCTTTCTAATAAAAAAAAGAATCATCAAAATCGATTCACCCAGTCAAAAGTTATGAGGTAACAAACAAAAAAAAGGGTGCATGTACTTAATATGTATGCGCGTAAGAAGTTATACTTTATTTTTATAAAGTATAACTTCTTACGCGCATACATATTAAATATCTCTTTTTTTTTTAATATGAAATAATTAATAATAAATATTTAACGTTAATAATTTAATAATGTTTAGTATGAATTATATTAAATAATAATTTTGTCATTTATATTACTAAAAAAATAATGCTAATAACACATTTTTTTACGAGTGTACATGCGCGAAAGTTAACCTGCGGCTATATTCAGACTCGCCAAGTTACGTCGGTCGTATTGTAATGAGCGATTTAGTGGGCAACTTCATTCTGTTAATTTTGTGTCACGGTGCGCGCGCATCGTAAAATTTCACTCTCATCAATTTTTCATAACGTGCCTCCAGAAGTATAACTTCAAAAACATACAGTCGAATTGAGAACCTCCTCGTTTTTTGAAGTCGGTTAAACATACCTTTACCCCAGAGCGGCTTGTAGACGTCTACGGAACGACAGTTTTGGGTTTCTACGAGATAGGCGGAAGGTGAAAAAAATAGCATATAAGTACTATTAACTGCCATTGATAATAGAAATAGCGAGTAAAGAATACTTGAGTCGTCTATTATCAAAGGTGGCAATCTGTGCATTTGGACAAAAAAATGTTATTGATATGTCAATACAGATTGATTTGAATATAATCGTCTCCTTCAAAGAATACGGTTCAAAACCTGCATTAAATAAAGGTTAATACTTAACCTGTTATTTATCTAAGATGTCGTTCAGAAGAGTTTTGTGACTGCCGATGGAATACAAAGTCAATAATTCGTTTTTCTGATTTACCAATAATTGTCCAAAAGTCACATTGCCGGCTTTGATAATAGTCGACTCACTTTAGTTGTTTAGAAATTCCAACGTAGATTTGTAGAAAAGTGTTCCGAATACATTCAGTATTAAGCAGCATAAGCATAGATGAAACTGTGTTTTCTTAACGCAAATAACAAAATGATTAACAGAAATGAAAGAAAGGAGTACAGGGTACATTCGAAATTTGATAGGAGTGTGACCAAAATAATAAAGACGTTAAATGTTTTATGCATAAACACATATGGAGATGTTTTTTATGGATTTTTTGTGAAAGTTTGGGCGCTTTCCACGTCACTCGCAATCCGAGTCGAGGATAGAGCAACCTGACCTAATTTCTTCTTCTTCGTCGCTTTCTTCATTGCTGAAGATCGTGTCCCTGAAACTTGACTGTGGCCTGTCTCGTGGGCTGTTTCCATCTCGTCCGGTCCTCAGCTTCTCGAATGGCGGTTGCGACTGGCAACCCAGTTAGAGTGGTTACTTGATCACACCAACGGCTTGGTAATCGACCGCGGGTTCTCTTTCCTTCAACTTTGTCCAAGTTATCTGTTATCTGTCGGCGGGAAATATGATACAGTCCATTAAAAAGTTACCTGACCCTAAGGTCATGACCCTGTCTACTGAGTATCTATCTATATTATTACATATTGTGACGTAATGACGTTATGATTTCTATCACTGTTGCCGTGAGTTTCTAATTCTAAGCCCAATCTTTCGAAAAATTTAAAATTGAAATTGTAAATTTAATAAACATTTATTATCTATTCTTATTCAATATCTGCAGTGATTCTTGTCCACCTGATAGTGAAATAAATAACTATATATATGTATCTATATTTTACAGATAAATATTTGTATAACAAAACCCATCTACTCTGAATAACAATAACAAAATTTTAAAGAAGTAAAAAAAAAACGAAAGTTAGCCACCCCACTCCTATATCCTTAATAAAAAGTAATAAAATATAACTAATTGAGGTCAACGGCCGTCGGTACGATTATCATGTGTTGCCGAATGAATCACGCGTCCGTTAAGAAAAGCTGTGATGTTATTGTTTTAAAAAAAATTTGTGGGCCTGTAATGTTTGGCCAACATTGGCGTAGACTTGTCCAGCAATATTGGTGGTTCGGCAGCTGATATGTGTTTGTGAAAGTCTCCATATATTATGCTAATGCTGACGAGATGACAAGCAATATAGATAGTTTAATTGTTTATCAACCAAATAAAGCTAGTAACTGCAAACAAAATGAAGATATGTATATTCTGCCATGAAGGAGTATCTTAAATTATTACAAGATTTTTATACCTACGCCTTCACAGGCAAATAGTCACCACGACTGATTCCGAATTCAATTTCACTACTAACTGGTGAGATTGAATATTAGAATCTATGAGAAACTTAGGGCTTTTGTTAATAAAAATAATATCATATTTTCCGGTTTAATCTCGTATTTATTATGTCATTATATTGTTTCCCAGGTTTCGAATTCTTCCAGTTTTTGTCGACGTAAAAGCAGTTTTATTTCCACAGCACGCGATAACCGAATAAAGCACTACATAATATATTCATATCAATACAATTATATTTAGAGTCGGTCATATAACTCAGCATAGTCTGGTCTATATTGAGCCCAAAACACGTCATTACGAATCCTCCCGATCCATTAACGGTGCTTTTAGGTACCACAAGTACCGGTCACCGTCCTCGTCGAACCCGTCGCTTGCGACGAAGCGCTCGACGAGCGAATTAACCCTCAGACACAGACCCAGTGCGTTTCTAGCCGGATCTTCTCAGTGGGTTTCGTTTCCGATACGGTGGTAGATTCTGCGAAGCACTGCTCTTGCGAGGGCCAGTGTTAGCAACAATCCGGCTTGAGCCCCGTGAGCTCACTACGTTAGGACGAAGCTGACATAGCCTCTCAAGGCTATCAGCATAGGTAGAAAAAAAATCTATATTTAGTAGAGCACAATTAAGAATTTGAAGCTTAGAATAGAATTCAGCTCGTTTGTCCATATTACAAAATACATCTCCAGAAATAATTACTTGGCGGAGCACAATTGTATATGTCGATATTTACTATCGCAAACAATTTTGATATTAAATTAATTGAAATATTATTTGTAACAATTGATATTCGCATTACGCTACTGGCCCTGTTTTATAACATTAAACCAGATTTATGTTACGACCTCGATAATAGGGTTGCTTGTATTGGAACTGCGTAACTTGCAGAATATTGACCTCTTTTCATTTGTTTTACACCATTTTTTTCGTTTTTCTACCCATGTCAAAACATTTAGCTAACACTAGTCCTAGCAAAGGCAATGTTTTGCTGAATATATCAAAGGATCGGAATCGCAATCCATTGAGTAGATCTCGCGAGAACCGCAGTGGGCTGTGTCTATTGGTTAATTTTCGCGACTAACCCTTTGTCGCATTCGATGGGTTCGACGAGAACGGTAACCGGTACTTAGAGTGCCTAAAAGCACCGTTACTAGATCGGGAGGATCCGAAGTGACCTGTTCTGGGCGACCGTTTACCGTTTGATATACCAAACTGTTTTATACCTTGTCAAACTGATGTCTAGAGCTTAGTAAGACGCTTTTATTAGCTTCGCATGTACGAGTATGCAATAGAATCTTTGAACGTAAACTTTACAGATTTCCAGACTTCCGATCAACTTGAAAGCTTGTACACGCATCAAGGACCGATTACCGTGTATTACCTTACTTACTTAATCTTCTAAAAAACCTGTGAGTACGAATTCACAGATGGGCATTTTGGGATTGAGCTTGGTAAAATCCTTCAACAACCGCTCACCGCCCTTACTCGAAAACCGCATACTAAATTTGTTCGTAACCTATTCATTTTAAGGATTTCGATTTGCTATTGGACAGCATCTTAAATAATGGTTTAGTTATAAATATTCCTGTTTGTTTAAAATTCTAACAACTCACTTGTGACGTCATACGTAGACTTTGACGTTTTTCAACGGAAACATGAATGGCATTGGGACTTTGTTGAAAGCTATTCAGTACGAAACAGTTTGTATTATGAAAAAAAAGTTGATATTATTGGGTATTATCGTATTCTGAACTGCATAGATAATGTTCGAAATTGTCGTTCGGTCAGGAAATTTCCGAGATAATATGTTACGAATAACCAAATTATATGGGCATTTAGAAAGGTCTAAATCTGTGGTTATGTATTAAAAATTAATAGGGGCTTTCAATTTTATTTTGATCCTTTTTCAAAAACTGCATTAGGGGTAAAAATTGCGTTAATTTACGAAGCGAAGCCTAAATAGTTAATGATGTAAGGCCATATTGGAGCATATAGAGAATGCAATAGGAGTAGTACAAAGGACCTTATACTCTACATTTTAGATGCAGCGAAAGTGTAGTGGCTTCAGCTGGCGGCTATGGCGTCGTTCACGATATCGCGGTGACATTGCGAGACTGGTTAGAGCAATGGAAGAACTTGTATATTGTGAGTATAGAAACATTAATGAAAGTCATGGGTGTGATTAGTTATAGGCGTATTGTAAGCTCACATCGGCGGACACACAATCCTGCCCCATTTCTGACGCAAATCAGCTTTCGGGGGGTTATATAAAACATTTGATACTCCGAGGTCCTGGCTCAAGATGAATCTCTGAATAGTGAGGTGATGTCAATAGGCACCAGAAGCCACTTAGACCAGACGTGAAATACATAGATTAATGAAATTCATCTATTTATATAGCAAAGTAAGAACCTAACGGGGTCTGTTTGCGTGCAGATTGGATGTTTGGGAACTTGCTGTTCCAAAATGGAAAGAGAGGAAAGACAGAAAAGATACTGCCTACATACAAAATAACCTAGTCATAGTTGATCCTGATTGTTACACAATAGGCCCGTCAAAAATACAACAAAAATCGGCTACAGTTCTGTCATTCTATTTCAGAATAATGATGAACGTTTTAAATTTATGGAAGTAAGTATGCGTGCGTTATTAGAGCTAAGAGCTCAGGCCGCCAGCGGAGCGCTTCCTCAAGACCAGCTGCGAAGAGTTGCCAGGACATCTGTATTCACTATCGACAGGGGAAATAGGTAAGGTTTATAACATTTTCACTGCCAAGAGCCTTCGATTGCTGTTAAGTCAAAGCCGGCTAGTTTCCACTTTGTATTCATAGGTTAGATAGAGGCCATTATTTATGAATTACTGATGGTAGGACGTCTTTTGAGTCCGCACGGGTAATTACGCTTCTTTCTGCCGTGAAGCAGTAATGCGTTTCGGCTTGAAGGGTGGGGCAGCCGATGTACTCTAAAAACTGAGACTTTAGAGCTCATGTCTCTGACATCATTTATATTGTAGATGTCAATAGGCTCATGTAACCACTCAACACCAGGTGGGCCGTGAAAAAATGCCGCCATACTGTACATAATATCCCAAGACTGCGACTGATATTTCAATAAGAAATTTGTATAAATACTAGAAATTTTTGCTGTAAAAACGCCAAGTGGAAATCCGTCACGCACGAAATAAACATAGCATTTTGGCTTTAGGAATGCGTTGTAATCATCATCAGCCTGCAGATGTTCGCTGCTAGATCTAGGCCTCCGCCGAAGACTATACTATAATGACCGGCCCTACCTTGTCTGCATCTAGTCGAATTTTGAGCTTGAAAAGATACTATACTGATTACGATATAGCTGCTTCTAATGACCCATTGAATTTAGTATCATGTTCGACTTTGAAAATTCGAGGTTGGTCAGTTCAATTCGAAATGTGTTTGATAAAGGGAACCTAGTGTAAACAATTTTAACAATAACAAACAACAACAATTGGTTGTAAGACCTCTTGTGAGTCCGCGCGGGTAAGGTACCACCACCCTGCCTATTTCTGCCGTGAAGCAGTAATGCGTTTCGGTTTGAAGGGTGGGGCAGCCGTTGTAACTATACTTGAGACCCTAAAACTTATATCTCAAGGTGGGTGGCGCATTTACGTCGTAGATGTCTATGGGCTCCAGTAACCACTTAACACCACGTGGGCTGAGAGCTCGTCCATTCATCTAAGAAAAAAAGTCTTTGATACAGGGAATGTAATCTTTAACGACGTGTAAACAAATTTTTTTCGGCTAATATAATATGGGTAATAGTCGAATTCTTTTGGCACCCAGGACGCTAGATATGGAGTTGGCGGTGAGGAATTCAAACGGTCAACTCGTCGATCCGCTGAAGATGTCGACGTACCGTTTGAACGCATTACACGACGAGGCCAACACTCGTATCGATAAAAACATGGTGAGCGGTAACCACTGTCGATGGTAACTAAAGATTTTAGTTTAGTTAAATAGCTGCAATGTACGCTCAAATATTGCTGCTGCCTACCGCTTAATACTCTCCACAAACCTTGTTTGAAGAAGGACATGTCATAGCGCTCGGGAAACACCGCGGAGGGGAACTCATTCCATAGCCGAATGGTACGTGGCAAAAAAGGACTCTGGAAACGCACTGTGGATGACCGCAGTGGCTCCAGGTAGTATGGATCAACTCTACTCCAGTGGTGGGCGGTGCGATGGTAAAAACGAGATGCCGATATCATCTCAAACAATTCCTCAGAGCACTCCCCATAGAACATACGGTACAAAATACAGAGGGAACCGAAGTCCCTCCGCAGACCCAGAATCTTCCGAATTGGATTCTTCGTGACCTCTAGAATCTGATTAGATAGATGTGACGCCCTTTGACCCAAACGTCACCAAGGGCATATATCGAGAGGTGAAAGGCTATGTGGCTTAACCGAAATTTTGCAACTTTACAGGGGAAGCCATTTAAAGCTTAAAGATTGAAAAAAAAATCACGAAAATAACATCTTTAGGTATTTGAATGTTGTAAACATAATTCAAGATCAATGAAAAACATCGAACTGTTGACCCTAATACCAAACAAAACGCACCTTAAATTAAAAATATGAATGTCGCGTATTTAACGAAATATCGCTTAAATCAAATAGCCTTTCATCCGTCCATATGGTCTTGATAAATATATTATCTTGAAGTTCCATTTGAAGGATGATATGTTTCTATACTCTGGCAATACCAATGCTCGAATTAAAAAAAGCGGACTTTTTGGCGGGAGCGCGACGAGTGAAGTTGTGTGATTTGTTTTATTTTGTCTATTTAGTGTTTCTTCAGGTTTAAATGTGTAATAACGGTGGTTTATTAACTGTTTAATATCTGTGAAAGTGCACAAATGTGGGAAAATGAAACAAAGCCGTAACTTCTCGGGATCCTCTAAAAAGTCCACTAAAAAATCTCAGTAAATGGTGGACATTTTACTGAGACTATATTTAATCATCTCATTTCATTTAATTTCATCTCAGTTGATTAATGTCTCTAATCAATTATCTTCATTTCATTACACTCCATATTATAATTTTTCATAAAAATAAGAATATTTAATAAATTAAAATAAGATATGACTTAAAGGTCTGAGTTACCAGGTCATAAAATCCCTAAAAAAAATATTGAAAAAGCTAAACGATTCCAGGAAACGACGCCGGTAACACCGAACGTTACTCCGGCCGGAGTGAGGACGTTCACGGTTTGCGTCCGAGTGCACAACTTCGTGTGTCGAGTGGCGGACGTGGCCGAGCTGTCGCTGTCCTTGCACGACGCGGCCGGGAACAAGTTGACTGAACATCTCCTGATAAGATGGCCCACGCCAAATTTCGCGACCACCAATGTCGTCTTCACGGTAAGAACACATATGCTTTAGTTGATAAGACCGCCCATTGTACAATTATATCTCTCTCTTCCTCTTTTCCTCTCACTCGTCCTCTCTCTCTCTCTTCCCCTCTCTTCCCCCCCCCCCTCTCTCTCTCTCTTCCTCTCTCTTCCTCTCTCTCTCTATTCCTCTCTCTTCCTCTCTCTCTATTCCTCTCTCTCTCACTCTGTAAGAACTCGATTGTTTGTAGGTACATAAATTCATATATTTCTTATCGTTTTCAGGATTTCGGCAGTGACTTCATGAAGAACGAGAAAGTGTATTTAGTGTGTCACGTCGTGAGAATAGGGTCGATGGACGCTCAAAATGTTGATCACAGGTAACTAAATATACTATTTATGATGGCTACTGAAATTAAATATCTCAACGTTAGGGACATTAGGTCGCATGAGTTTGTTCAACTTTTACAATTGTAATAGATCTAAACGATTTCAAACGTTTAGCGCTTAAAGACCGTCGAGCCCCCTCTAAAAAGACCAAATAAACTATACACTAATATCTACGAAGAAATGTGATTTTCGCGGCTATCATATTCGACCTTAACTATCTAATATTAAGATATATTATTGCTTAATGAACTGGTGATATTACGTAGATGTTACGTAGATGCTTATCTTGTAAATTCCGTCAGAGTGATTTAGGGTTTTGTCGGATTTATTTTTCGTCACCAATCTATATTTCGTTTGTAATACCATAGATTGATAGGAAGCGGTTTGGCTATGTCACTAGCATTGCTGGCGTCCATGGGCGACGGTGATCACTCACCTAGAGGTGGGCCGTATGCTCGTCTTAAAAAAAAATATCCACCTTTTCACAGATGTGAGAACATCCCTCGAGTTCAGAAATGGCGGGACATTGTTCTCTCATCGTGGAAGTCTTTGGATATTGATTACGTGTTTCTTAAGACAAGTGTCGTCTCGCCCATTGGTCCTTTTTTTTTTAAGTGATTTTATGACCTGGTAACTAAGCCCTTTAAGTCATTTCATATTTTAATTTATATTCTTATTATATTCTTACTTTTACGAAAAATGATAATATGAAGTGAAATGAAATGAAGTGAAGATGGTTAATTTGAGACATTAATCAACTGGGTTGAAATGAGATGAGATGATATGGGATGACATATAATCTCAGTAAATTTGGTGGTCATTTACTGAGACTTTTTCAGTGGAGTTTTTAGAGGATCCCGAGAAGTTATGTTCAGCGGCTTTGTTTCATTTTCCCACATTTGTGCACTTTCACAGATATTAAACAGTTAATAAACCACCGTTATTACGCATTTAAACTTGAAGAAACACTAAATAGACAAAATAAAACAAATCACACAACTTCACTCCTGGCGTTCCCGCCAAAAAGTCCCCATTGGTCCCGCGACGCGTTCTAAAAGTCATGGCACACTGTAACGGCACAGCTGCGGCTCGGCTCTGTATTGTATCTGTAAGATCACTAAGAACGGTTGATACCCCGCTGATGGCTTTTTATATTGACGTTATGAAACATACGACATACGATTTAAGGGTCAAATTCAAATGACAAGCTAATCGCTGGGTTGAAGCGGTGCCGTTGCCGTGCTTGCACAGTGTGCCATGACCTGGCATTTACTAGTGGTAGGACCTCTTGTGAGTCCGCACGGGTAAGTACCACCGCCCTGCCTATTTCTGCCGTGAAGCAGTAATGCGTTTCGGTTTGAAGAGTGGGGCAGCCGTTGTAACTACACTGAGACCTTAGAACTTATATCTCAAGGTGGGTGGTGCATTTACGTTGTAGATGGGCTCCAGTAACCGTTTAACATCAGGTGCGCTGTGAGAAATACCTTAATATCAGCGGACGTTTCCAGGCGCAGTTCAGTGGCCCAGCCGGTGTCGATGAGCACGTCGGCCGGCGCGATGCGGAGGCCGTTCGGCGTGGCCTGCGCCGACATCAAGCGCCACCTCACGTCTGACAACCCTGACAAGCACATACAAGTGCCTTTTTACGCGTAAGTTTATCGAAGTGAAACTTCTAATGCGACTTCTAACAAGGTTGCGTTCAAGGTTTGACGCTGCCATGGAATAGAAAGGGACAGAGCGAGAGTGAATGCGTGGCACTCGAGCGCATGCGCGTAGTATACCTGTTACAGGCCAGCGCGAGCGTTGGCAACGAGTATCGTCCAAAGTTTTAATGAAGTATTTAAAAAAATATATATATTTATGTTTCTATCTTTAATCTAAAATATATAAATGTTGAAGATGATACACAGCATGCTCTATTACAAGAGCAATCTGATTTAAGGATGAAACATGAAGAAAACCACAGTACTACACTACACATCGAAAAAGAAGTTTCACTTCATTCACGTGCACCAAGTTGCACTCGCACTTTTTTATTCTAAATATCTTAGTTTCGTTTCAATAGCATACCAAATGTTGTAATATTCATCTATTTAGGGCGCTTTTTATTACTTTTCTTTAGTAACTACTGCAGTTTTGAGTGAATGCTTACATGTACCTTAGAGGTTTAAGCCTCAATTATATAGTATGACGGTCGTCCAAACCCTTCAAACCGGAAGATTACTGCTTTTCTTCAAAAAAGTAGGTTGGATGGTGGTAGCAGTAAGGGCCTAGAAGACGACCTTCCACCAGCGGCATTCATTTCTTTCAAGCATTCAATACAGTGGTGATAGGAAAGTTTTTAACATGCAGTCTTTTGCCAGCAGTCTGTCTACTTCTGCTGCGCAGCAGATATATATGTTCCATGCCTGAGTGTGGGAGAATTCATAGTTTAAAAGAACAGCGATTTAAGCTTACCAGAAAGAACTCCACAAATACTGTTTTCAAATTAATTAAGTATTAAATAATTATATAATCAGCCCACTGAGTTTCTCGCCGAATCTTCTCAGTGGGTCGCGTTTCCGATCCGGCGGTAGATTCTGCGAAGCACTGCTCTTGCTAGGGTTCGTGTTAGCAACACTCCGGTTTGAGCCCCTTGAGCTCACCTACATGTTAGGGCGAAGCTGAAATAGCCTCTGAAGGCTATCATCATCAGCATAGGTAGGAAAAAATATATAATTAAATAGATTACTGTAATATAAATAAATAAATGAATTTCAGATACGAAAAAGAGAATTTAGATGCTCTGCTGAAGAAGGTGATGGCCAATCGGGAGTTGAAGGACGCCAAGCACTCGCAAGGACTCTGGGTCTCCATACATCTAGTTGAAGGTGATTTAAAACAGGTACGACGCACATTTCCTCGAGCAAGTTTGTGTCCAAAAACTGATATGGTTTTGTTTTTTCAAGATTTCGGAATAACTCGTCTTCTCAGCACTGGGGCAAATCAGAAAAGGATTCATATATTGTATTGTGAGATTGTTCACACATTTTTAATGACTTCTCCTATACATATGTAACGTCTATACAAATTATCTTAAAAGAGGTTAATGTGATATAAAGATGACATAAATAGAATTTTGAATAATGAAACATTAGAAGAAGGAACATTAGAAATAATAAAGCATTTTTGAATATTGAAATATAAAAAAACATAAAAAGTGGTGAAGCAGTAGCTTTAAATGCTGTTTCTCTTTATAGAGCAACTCAATTTGTGCTATAGTTTTACAAGGCTAAATTTTATTTTAATGTAAATAAAATAATACATTATACATGAGTCGTCTATTATCAAAGGTGGCAATCTGTGCATTTGGACAAAAAAATGTTATTGATATGTCAATACAGATTCATTTGAATATAATCGTCTCCTTCAAAGAATACGATTCAAAACCTGCATTAAATAAAGGTTAATATACTTAACCTGTTATTTATCTAAGATGTCGTTCAGAAGAGTTTTGTGACTGCCGATGGAATACAAAGTCAATAATTCGTTTTTCTGATTTACTAATAATTGTCCAAAAGTCACATTGCCGGCTTTGATAATAGTCGACTCACATATACATACATATTACATGAACTTTAAAGCTTCCGGGAATTTCAAAAAATTTCACGCGTATCAAGGACCGACGACAATACAATAATTCGATAAACTTCACCTAAGTTCCTGACAGGGTCATCACGACAGACAAAAAAAAGTATTTTTATTTTTAAATAATTTTGAAGCTGAAGTTACTCACTGATCGCAATTTCTCAGTTGTTACACTTTGTGTTTTAAATAGACGTGTCTGCTTCAGATCCGCGAAGAGAATCCGCACATAGTGGTGAACACGGTGGTGGCACGGAAGATGGGCTTCCCCGAAGTGATACTGCCGGGGGACGCGCGCAACGACCTCTACGTGACCCTCTGCTCCGGCTCGTTCTCCAAGGGCGGCGGGAAGTCTTCGGAGAGGAACATCGAGCTGGTGGCCAGGGTTGTTGATCAACACGGGAGAACCATACCGGTGAGCTATATATATAAATTTATGATATATGTATCTAAAGAATAACCAATAATTTTTACTGGTGGCAGGACCTCTTGTGAGGCCGCACGGGTAGGCACCACCACCCTAGCTAGTTCTGCCGTGAAGCAGTAACGCGTTTCGGTTTGAAGGGTGGAGCAGTCGTTGTAACTATACTGAGAACTTACAACTTATATCTCAAGGTGGGTGGCGCATTTACGTTGTAGATGTCCATGGGCTCCAGTAACAACTTAACACCAGGTGGGCTATGAGCTCGTCCACACATAAAAGCAATAAAAAGAAAAATTTGGAAATGTTTTTTTAATACTCATGCAGCAATGTAATGTAAACTCATTCTCGCTTACAATAGGGTGTGATTTCGATTGGAGCTGGCGTACCGTTAGCTAACGAGTACACTTCGCTTGTGTACTACCACGACGACAGGCCGCGATGGCAGGAAGTGTTTAAGGTCAGTGTTGCGTTTTTTATGGAAAATGCATTTTTAGTCCACAGCGTTAAGGTTCACATTCGCGTAATGACGTTTGTGATTAAGTTAATAAATATTCTTTTGAATGTCGTCGAAATAAATTTATAACAATGTTTTTATAAGGACATAAGCTTTTGCTCGCGACTCCGTCTGCGTGGAATAGTTACTTTGACATAACGCTAAATTTTACCCCCCACTTCATTTATTTATTTAGACACACCAACAGCAATACACAGAAAACATTCAAGCTTAAAATTAACAAGTATAAAACTAAGTCCTGGTATGTAAGCCAGTTACAGGCAGGTACAGCAATCTCTTATAACACACTATGACATGTTATATGAGATATTTTTGAATTATAGAATGTTAAGGAAGCTATTTAAACCCCTATTTTGAAACATTCTTTATTGGTGGTCCACTTGTATTGATCTTACCGTGATATAGATAGCCTTCCTCAATAAATGGGCTATCTAACACTGAAAGGATTTTTCAAATCGGACCAGTACTTCCTGAGATTAGCGCGTTCAAACAAACAAACTCTTCAGCTTTATAATATTCGTATAGCAACAGCATATGTCTATATGCTATAGGTTGGCTTACTATAACGTTTTTTATGCCAACCAAATTTGTTCTAAAATAAAGCATTATTTGTGAACTATTCCATGCGGACGAAGTCGCGGGCAAAAGCTAGTGTATTATGAACAGTTAGTCGACTATTGTATCATTGTTCACTACAAAAACAGCCACTTCCATAAAGCAGCGGCACGACACGAGAACCCTCTCATCGTGGCCGCCGGTAACTACATAGCCGATCCTGTGGACAGAATGGAAAGCAATCGACGTCGCCCAAAACACGTCATTTCGGATCCTCCCGATCCACTTACGGTGCTTTTAGGTACCTCAAGTACCGGTTATCGTTCTCGTCAAACCCGTCGCTTGCGATGAAGGGCTCGACGAGTGAATTAACCCTCAGACACACAGTCCCCCACAGGTAGAGAAAAAAAAACGTATTTTCTTTGACCCATAGACACAGCCCACTGAGGATCTTCTCAGTGGGTCGCGTTTCCGATCCGGTGGTAGATTCTGCGAAGCACGGCTCTTGCTAGGGTTCGTGTTAGCAACGTCGTCAGGTTTGAGCCCCGTGAGCTCACCTACTAGTTAAGGTTACGCTGAAATAGCCTCTCAAGGCTCTCAGTTGCATGTGGATGAATTTATTACAGGTGTGTCTCAACATTGAGGAGTTCAAAGACGCTCACCTGGTGTTCCTGTGCAGACACCGGAGCTCGAACGAAGCCAAGGACCGGGCGGAGAGGCATTTCGCGTTAGCCTTCCTCAGGCTCATGCAGCGCGAAGGGACCACCACGCCCGACACCAACCACAACCTGTGCGTTTACAAAGTGAGTTCTCAACAGTTAAATTCTTTAGAACAATTCCTTAAGTATTCAGAAAGGCAGTCACAAACTTGATAATCTGATAAAAAAAATTAAAGAGATTTTGTGACCTGGTAACTAAGACCTTTAAGTCATGTCTTATTTTTATTTATTTTTTTATTGCCCTTGTAGGCAGACGAGCATATGGCCCACCTGATGGTGAGTGGTTACCGTGGCCCATGGACTTCAACAATGCCAGGGGCAGAGCCAAGCCGCTGCCTACAATTTTATAGCCGTTGCCTAATTTATATTCTTATTTTTTATGAACAATTATGAAATGAAATGAAATGAAGATAATTAATTTGAGATATTAATCAACTGGGATGAAATCAAATGAAATGAGATGAGATTATATGGGATGTAAGTAAAATCTCTAAAGTTACGTCCAGCGGCTTTGTTTCGTTTTCCCACATTTGTGCACTTTCACAGATATTAAACAGATAATAAACCACCGTTATTACACATTTAAACCTGAAGAAATACTAAATAGACAAAATAAAACAAATCACAACTTCACTCCTCGCGCTCCCGCCAAAAATCCTTGATAATCTGATGGTTACTGGTAGAGTCGTGGGACCGCAACTAAATGTTTTTGTCTGACTAGATCCGCATCACACATGATTCCTACGTTCTATGCTCTCATAAAAATCTAACGTTACGGACGTTTTTGCCCGGTTAGGGTATCGTCCCATGAGGAACTTTGTTCCAAAAAAATGCAACGTTTTAATTCTTTCAGATTGACAACAAAAGGTCGAACCCCGCCGAGGTGGAGAAAGAAGCGGCCGCGGTCTGCCTTGGCCTGCCTTCGAAACGGGACGAGCTCCCGGCCGGCGCCGAGCGGGGCCTGACCCGGGGCGTGCTGTCCCTCATACACCGGGACACGCTCACCGTCGCCACCAAGCTGTGCTCCACTAAACTGACGCAGAAAGGTGCATACCCTTTTTTGTATTGCTTGGATGGGTGGACGGCACAACTGATTCTACAACGTAAAAGCCGCCACCCACCTTGAGATATAACTTCTAAGGTCTTAGTATAGTTACAACGGCTGCCCCACCCTTCAAGCCGAAACGTATTACTGCTTCACGGCAGAAATAGGCAGGGCGGTGGTACCTATCCGCGCGGACTCACACAGAGGTACCATCAGTACTTACGCAAATTATAATTTTGCGGGTTTGATTTTTATTACACGATGTTTTATTCCTTCACCGTGAACGTCAATCGTGAATTTATTAAGTACGTATTTCAATACAAAAATTGGTACCTGCCTGCGGGATACGAACACCGTTACATCGCTAAATACGAATGCACCGGACGTCTTATCCTTTAGGCCACGACGACTTCTTAAGTATTATCACCCGGCCTATTTTTACCGTGAAGTAGTACCTTCCGATTTGAAGGGTGGGGCAACCGTTGGACTATACGACTGACACTTAGAACTCATGCCTCTGAAAGTCTATAGTGTAAGTCTAGAAATATTTTTATAGAAAAATGTACGGTAGTTAACAAACTATTCTAATATCGTCGAATAACGCCCCAGTCGTCGACAACCGCGGAAACTGTGATTTTATGTGATATGACAATAAAAAGTAGTTTTAATTATGTGTATGTCTCGCGAAAATCTAACGTAAGCCAATGTACGTATAGTTCATTATATTATGACTAAAAAAAAACGATTCTGTTTTTTTTTTATGTTGCGTGACACCGTACACGTAGTGTAATAAGGCGAATTGGCAATCCAAAGAAAAAAATCCTTGAGTAAGTCGAGATAAGAAGATTTTCATTACATTGACGGGCCAACCGGCTCATCATCCACACGCCGTTAACTAATCGCGGTAATGGACGACGTTGACAACTGCCCGAGTTTTATTCCAGAGGAAATCCTCGGTGTTCTGAAATGGAGCACGCATCGGACGCCTGGGACATTGCGGCCGGCCTTGACCCAGCTGCTCCACGTCCCGAGCGAAGAGCTGGTCAAGTTCCTCCAGGACATACTGGACACGTTGTTCAGCATACTGACGCAGGTAGGGAACCCTTTGCTTATCACGTCAGAATCACAAATGAGCTACTGTCTATCATCATCATCATCATCATCTTAGGCCTTACAGCCCAGGGTGGGCATTAGCCTGGTCCAGTATGTCTCTCCAGACTGCTCTTTTCAGGGCTTTCTCCTTCCAGTTCCTAACACCGATAACTTTGAGGTCGCGCTCCACGCCATCCAACCATCGGAGTTTGGGTTACTGTCTATACATAAATAAACTCATTGGGCCATACATAAACTGCCTAGTTCGAACGAACATGAATGTATTACCTTGGCTGTATGGGCATACTTCCCGGAGCCAAAAAAGGCAATAAAGTATTATCTTGTTGTAAACTATGGAGGGTAGATATGGGACAAGTTGAAAAAGTGTCCACCTGTAAACAGCAAATTATTGTTGGGAGACTTTCCGAAATAGCCTTACTGTAGGAAGTGGAAATAATATGAATACAGCAGTTTTAAACACATCAAAGTTTGTTGGGTTGAACAGTGTGGTAGTTTAGTGCGCTTTTAAAATTCTTCCACTTGGTACTGTGGCGCCATCTTAATTGGCTCCCTCTCAGCGGACTCATTACTTCACTGAGATAGTTCTCCTTACTTCTACTCTCCATTAATGTAAACGAAAAATAATTCATTTTCTAAGTTTAATTAATGAATTATCGAAGTTTTATGAGCGCGTTATAAGAAGACTGTCGTAAAATGTTATTCATATTACATCATTTTTATGAAACACTAGCGGCCCGCTTTGGCTACGCGCGGGTCAACAAAAATTTCAACGATATTTGACGCTGTTTTATTTTTTAAATAAAAGAACACTTATTGCGGCATAACTATAATAGTTAGACATATGTTGTCGTGACACTTTTTGTAAATAATAATGTGTTCTACAAAGTCGTAGTACATTATTTTATTCTATCATGAATAGTTTTCGCAGGGCACGCAATGTAAAGAATATTTTAGGTAATTTTTTACACCTTGGGTTACATTATTAGAGTTTTAGTAAGGATCCCTAATTTTTTTCAAAAAAGATTATAGCCTATGTCACTCGGGAATAGTGTAGCTTCCAAACAGTGAAAGAATTTGTCAAATCGGTTCAGTGGTTTCGGAGCCTATTCAATACAAGCAAACAAACAAATCTTTCCTCTTTGTAGTATAGAAGACATGTTTAGTTTTGGTGATTTCGGTGGGAGTTTTAATTTTAGTGATTTATTCTTCATTCAAAGGTCGAAGAAGACCAAGAATATTATTCGGACAAGAGCTACGGCGTTCTAGTGTTTGAATGCCTGCTGAGGGTCATATCGCTGGTCGCCGATCACAAGTACCAGCATTTCCAGCCAGTTCTGCACGTTTACATAGACGAGAGCTTCTGCGACGCTTTGGCTTACGAGTGAGTTGATTTTATGCTTTCGATATTGAATGTGACAGTTTTTATTGGGGTTGATTTACTATCACAGTAGAAAAGGTCGGGATATTGATACCCGTGTTTGCCTGCGTTTGCCGCTAGGGGCGCTGTTCCAACTTCATACAAATTTGATTTAACTTTTACGCTATCGAGAACGTTAAAAAACTCGCACTAAGCACATCGATCGCTGTATTTCGATAAACCATACAACTAGGGATTTGCAATTTGCCTCAAATTTTCTGGATTGATTTTAATACATAGTGGGGTTTCTTTGACGTTAAAGCGGATGGTAAGATACGTATTAGACAAATTTGGAGTTAGTAAATGCGTGAGTACGCCGGGCGAATCACACCGGAAGCTTCTAGTTTTTTTTTTTATTGCTTGGATGAGTGGACTAGCTCACGGCCCACCTGATCTTAAGTGGTTACCGGAGCCCATAGATAGACAATGTAAATGCCGCCACTCACCTTGAGACATAAGACCTCTTGTGAGTCCGCGCGGGTAGGTATCACCGCCCTGTCTATTTTTGCGGTCAAGCAGCAACGCGTTCGGTTTGAAGGGTGGGGTAGCCGTACTTGAGACCTTAGAACTTGTGTCTCAAGGTGGGTGGTGCATTGACGCTGTAGATGTCTATGGGCTCCAGTAACCACCTAACACCAGGAGGGCTGTGAGATCGTCCACTCATCTAAGCAATAAAAAAAAAACAAGTAACTTTGAAAGGACAGTCTGTCGTCGCAATAACTTAGAAATTCGTCACATTTGCTTTGAAATTTGAGGTCGGTACATGTTATAGTTTACGATCCTCAAATGCGTTTCGGTTTGAAGGGTGGGGCAGCCGTTGTAACTATACTGAGACCTTACAACTTATATCTCAAGGTGGGTGGCGCATTTACGTTGTTGATGTCTATGGGCTCCAGTAACCACTTAACATTAGGTGGGCTGTGAGCTCGTCCACCCATCTAAGCAATAAATAAAAAATAAAAAACCAGAATCTTCAACTTGTCGATCGTGGAGATACTCAAAACAGTTCTGAGCAACGACCTATTATTAAGAACACATAACGTCTTTTCGCATTAAAAGTGTACAATTTCCAAAAATATTCGAAATTGAGTTAATATGCGGAATCATTTAGTGTTAGTAGGTACCAGTATTTTTCTCATAAATACTGTCAAAAGAGCGTTGTTTATTTATTTTTTTTTTTTTTAGTTTACCTATAATATTTTGACTACCATTAACAAAATTAATATATTATTTTATCTTACTTTAAAAGACAGATAATGTAACTGGTAAAAAATAAAAAATAAAATGTTACAAAGATGATTAATATTAAAAATATCACATGTTAAACCGTTAAAACACTCTCCTGTAAAATTAGTAAGTTTTGAGATTATACAGTTTTAATGCTAGAAGACGATAAGAGTGTTTTACACCTAAGAAAAGTATGAGCTCGTCCACCCATCTAAGCAATAAAAAAAAGCCGTGACGTAACCGTGTCCAGGTCCCTGATAACGGTGATGGTGTGGGTGATCCGGACCGCGAACAGCAGCGAGGCGGCCGTCAAGCGCCTGCTGGTCTGCATGAAGTGCGTCGAGAGTCTGCTGCGGCTGGTGGTGCGCTCAAGGCAACTCCGCAGCGCTCTGGGCGACAGCGCTGCCGACGACGGCTTCAAGGCGCTATTCGACGTGAGCCTTTGGAAGTAGTTGGTTGATGGTTGTAGATCGGGTCACCAGTTCCGGGCGGTACAACGAGTCCGTAATAGGGTAGACAGCTTATTCACAATCACAGACAGTATATTAATATTTAACTATAGTAGAATTATTTTGTCCGTGCAGCTTGGGTCATAAAAGATCGGAGCGGTGAAGCGAGTATTTCGCTCTCTCTTTCACTCACGAGCCTTATGGACGGGCATTGTGATGCGCATTATGTTGTCGATAAGCGTTATCGATAGTGTATTTAGTTTTGTCATTTTGTGGGTTAGTGATAAAAATGAAAGAAGACATCACTAATCGAACACTCACGACTAATTATATTTTTTTAACTGTGGGTAGTTGTTAAAATAAACGCGGACAGTCGGCAAAATCATGTTACAAACAAAGCTTATTATTGTAATAATAAAATAACTCACGCACATTCGTGTTGAATCACACGAAGAAGGCATAAACAGTTTTCGATAACGTCGACCTCACTCACAAACTTGATTCTTATTGTTACGTTACGTTTATTAAACCTGAACCCCAACGGTTCAGGTTTAATAAAATTATACCGAATTACAAGTTAATTTACGTTGTGGATGTCTATGGGCTCCAGTAACCAGTTAACACCAGGTGGGCTGTGAGCTCGTCCAACCATCTAAGCAATAAATAAAAAAAAACACTGTATTGAACACTTAAAACACTCAACAAACATTTTAAAACTCTCAATTCGCTTGTTCCGCTTCGCTTCAAGTGATCCGTTCGCTGTTTCGCTTCGAGTGGTTCCGATTACTAACTCACTGCGTGCCATCCCTGCAACGCTTTTATAGTCGATACCTCATCCCTAGAATTATCGAGAATATTCCACACATCCCTACCATTGTGTTTCCGCTATCTGACAATAGATGACGTTGTACTTCTCGAGCGTTCTAGGTGCTACTAAATCCTCCAATACTCGTTCGACTATTCGGCAATAGATGGCGTTACTCTTACCGGCGTAACATTATAATTATAATTGGCGAGTGACAGGGTTCAGGGTTCAGTGTTGCGCAGTCGTTGATTAACACATTTGTGTGCACAGACGCTTCTAGAAGCGCTAGTGTGGCTGATGCGGTGCGGCGAGCACGTGCTCACGTGTCAGGGATCCGCGCTGAAGTACTTCCCGCACGCGGTGCCGCACATCATCAAAGTGTACCCGGACACAGAGCTCTGGTAAGATCGAATTTAAAATAAAAATTTTGATGTTATAATTAACACGGGTCAACTCCAAATTTGACTTTGATTGCAAAGCATAAAATTTCGATATTTCAGATCGTTAATTAGACGAAAAATAAATACATGGCATGAAACAGTTTGCTTTTGAACTTTAATAAATCGACCACATATGAAACAAAATGCATCAGCATCGTATTTACACTTTCGTGACATTTTAAGTTTTTCTGGGCTTGTACAAAACGCCTGATCGTTGTTTATGACTCGAGTGCCATCTAGTGGTTAGTAGTCTCTGTGTAAATGTAAACACCCCACTCTCATAGCGCGGTACAAGTATTAAAGTTTATAAAAAAATTGAAAAATGAGTATTATTACTATAACTATCACAAAAGCAAACTTTATACAAAAAAAGGTACATATTTTATTTTCCTTTTTGTGAATAATTAACCGGAAAAACCTAGTATAAACGTTAGGGCGAAGAACGAAGTTTTTTTTGTAGAGTTGTGTAATTTATCACCACATACATTATCAAACATTTCCATTACTTTATTTGAACGTCTAACCTAGTAACATATTAAAATTTCTATGAATAGAAATTATTGTAAATATTAAATTTCTTATATTATCTTCTGCGTTTAAATTATTATAACTCGAGGTATTCAAATCCATTTTTATTATCCGGCAGACTTCGTAGTGCATTAATCGATGGGGGGGGGGGGGAGGCTTCACATTAACGAAAAACAAAATTGTTATTTTTAATTCCGTTTTTTTGATTGTTTAATTCCGAGGATTTTCATACTTATTTACCTTTTAAACCTTCTCTGGACCTCGACAAATAATAGAGAATCGGGTACTTTTTTCCCGCGTGCTAAGGGACTAAAAGCGAACTTTTCATCCCGGTTGAAAAAATACCATTCTGATCTATAGAGGCATATCCAATTGAACTTAATATTTTTTATTGTTTTTAATGTATTTATATTCAATAATTTAATCTAAAAAAACAGCAATCTAAAGATTGAGATTATAAGAATTAGATTTAAAAATCACACCGCAAAAAAAAAAAAAATTACCAATAATAATTGTATGTATGTAAGTATGTTAAATTTGATCTCCCCCAGCGCATACATAATCCGTGCATTGGATGCGTTGCCCCTTTGTCGTCTCGGCACTCAAAGGATGCTGGCGCTACTAGAGTTGGTCCGTGGACCACTGTGCGCCGCGCCGGCTGCCAGAGCTTTGCTGCTGCCGCATCTCGCAGCCACACTTCGAGCTTTGTTGAGGGATAAAGCCGAGGTGAGTTGTGACGGATGCAGGGTAGGCCGATTTCAGTTGTGACTCGAAGTGTATGTGTTCACTTATGTTCACGAGCGCTCACGGTTTGGGAAGCCTTTTTGTTTACATTGAAATACTTGTTGATTGATACAGGTGATGGTTCTAGACTCTCTTCTAGAAACTCGCTAGAAAATCGTTAGGGATGTGAAAATTCTGAAGAATTTCCATTATAAATAACAAAAATTTCATTCAGACAAATTCGATGTTCTCGACTTCTGTGAGTTGTACCAGTTGAATTTACACAAAAGTACACAATCACATAAATAATTATATTTAATAAAATTCCAACAATTCCAATAATTTTGATTTATAAAAAAAAAAAACAGGAATCGACTACATACAAAAGGCATCATCTGTCCAAATTTTAAATATACACACTACGTACATCAGCCATTCCCAAAGTGGGCGATAACGCCCCCTTGTGGACGCTGTAGGCATAAAGGGGGTACGGTAAGAGATCAGAAAATAAAATGGGGGCGTTGTGTAGAGGCTTGAGAGGCGACTAGTAATTTTTTCTGGGAGGACTCTCGCTATAGTGGTTTTTGAGTAGGTGAAAAAATGGGTGCGGTAAAAGATAATTTATTGTCATGTTATATAAATCTTCGATTATTAAATACAACTGTACATATTCTGTCATAAGTATTGAAAATTGTATGAAGCGAAATGCGATTAGGTTGATTCATTTCGACTTCAATCGATTTATATGAAATTAAATGAAACGAGATATGGTTATTTACTGAAACTATTCCATTGGACTCATTAGAAAGAAAAGAAAACTCCAATTTGTACATTTTCACAAATGGTAAACCACTGTTATTACAGTTAAAACATTTTTGCTAAGCCCGATGAAACCCTAAATTACCACAATAAAACAATATACACAACTATTCTGGCCTTCCCGCAAAAAGGCCTAGCAGAGTCATCCCTACAAGTTGTAACCGATGCGTTATTTTTATTTTTTTATTTTTTTTACTACCTATTCTAGTAACCTCAAGGGGTTATTCTAGATTCGCCGAGCTTGTGTGCCATGCGTGATCACAACGCGCCCTTTTCCCCCAACTGTTCCTGAAAGGCCTATGGGGCTTTTCTAGCTACGTCCGGACTAGTAGGTGAGCTCACGGGCTCAACCTGAGAGGATTGCTAACACTAGCCTTAGCAAGGGCAGTGCTTCGCAGAATCTACCACCGGATCGGAATTGTGGCCCACTGAGAAGATCCGGCGAGAAACTCAGTGGGCTGTGTCTATGGGTTAGTTCATTCGTCGAACTCGTCGTCGTATTTGACGATGACGATGACCGGTGCCAACGCGCCCCTATTACATACAAGTAATCATGTAGATCATATTTTTTGCGTTTTTTATTACGCGGTTTCCATCGTGGAAACTTCTTGTGAGCATTTGCAAAACGTGAGCTATGAAAAGTTTATGTCCACTCTGAAATTCTGATTGTAAGTTTGTCTTTTCAACAAAACACTATGTCCATCAGTGTGGTTGATTAAACAAAAATAAATACTAAGTTAAATAATTAGTTGAAGAAACACTAAGACAGAATCTTGTTAGAAAGACTTAGAATAGCTACCAACTGAAATCGGTCTTAAATTTTTGATTCAATTAAAAAAAGTTTTTTTTTATAATAGATCTCTAAATGTTTCTTTGCAATAGAATCAAGTGATCTTGTACACAATTTTTTCGAAGATCATTGAGTTTTTAAATTTTTTGTTTATATTTTTTTTTTGTATCTATATACATTTGTGACGTCCGTTTTTTAATGGAGCTTAAAGCCTTCGTCAAACAGGCCGCGTACTTAGCGCCGTGTACTAAACGTCGCGCTCTTCAAATTGACTAGATGAGTCTAACGCTCCTTGACGCAACGCATTCGCCAAATCATAGTGCCTTTCGATAGCAGTGGGAAAATTTAAAAGCATTAAGAAATCGAGTGATTCAGATGTGGCATTGTATAAGCATGGGTATTTTCTAACTATTTATATCATTTTTTCGGGCATTATCTAGTATTTTATACACATTCACTCGGACGCTACAATAAAATTTGTAAAAAATTACAACGCCTGACGTCAAAACGTCCTAACGCCGCGACAGAGCGCTGCGTACTTATAGCGCTGGGGCTCTGTTTGACGGTATGTTACTATAGTAGTACAACACATCTCGGCGTCATAGCGCGGGGTCAGTTTAGCGCTCTGACGCGCGCTAATTACGCGTTCTTGTTGACGAAGGCTTAAGATGTTTTTAGCGTAAGTATAAGTTTAATTAAGGGCTAGTTCGCATCGGGATTGCTTCGCGAATACGAACAAGTGGTGTTATATGAGACGAACATTCTTGCTTATCATCAGAGCGATGTGGCTACGTCATATAATATACACACGTATGACGTAATCACTAATCGAAGTTAAAATCCCCGCTTTTTGTATTCGCGAAGCTACCCTTGTAAAAGTTATAATTTTTAGCCCGAATATATTACTAGGAAATATTAATTGAATACAATTAATAAAAATATTTACATTCATTTCGACTCCCAAGGCATTCACTGTTCAATTTCCACGGTGTGAGGAAATGGTGCGTTCGCTCCTGGCCTTTTCATTTTTCATTATTATTATTATTTTTTAATTGTATTTTTTGACTTGTTTTTTCATTTATTGTAAATATTATTACTTATTTAAAAAAAAGGAAATGTTTGAGAAAAGACAAAAAAAAAGCCCGCTGAGTTTGTTTCGCCGGTTCTTCTCAGGACTGTGGCTTTTTTTGGAACCGGTGGTAGAGTTAACATTGTTATTTATATTTTGACATTCAATAAGTGTGTTATACTGACATCTAAGTTGAAATAAATAATTTTGAATTTGAATTTGAATTTGGTTTTCGAAGCCGGAAAAGATTAATTATTTCGTGATATAAATTAAAAATTATATTCATTACCTACTTTTAGTTATGGTAATTTCGTGTTTCTCACTTGTAGCGAATATACCTTAATCTAATATGAGCAAATCTGTAAACAAATAGGTACAGAGAAAACAGTTGAGTACATTATTCTCCGGTGTTTGTCAATCGATTGATGACTTTAGTGTTGTCAAGAAAAATATAATTAGAAAAGCAAAAGAGCATATCGCACCTTTAGAATTGAAGTGGCTTAACCAACATTTTTAAGAAAATGAGTTTTATATTTATACACTTAAAGACGTGTATTCAATTAGTTTGTAAAATTAAATTTTTAAAATTAAAATGAAGTTTAAATTAATTACAATAGCTAGTTAGATAAGAACAAAGTACACTTTCCGTCTCTTTTAAATCAAAAGCATACCGTAAACTTTAAGGTATGCTTCAATGCGCTTTAAGGCTTGAAGTATTAAAATCAAAACTGAACAATTACAAAATTTTTCAACTACATTTTTGGCCTTAACCAAACAACAACATTTTTAATTAAGCCACCTCTATTCTAAAGGTGCTAATATGTGGAATGTAGTTGAGTGAATACATAAAATGAGTATAAAGTGATTGATATCAATCGAATTTCGATCACAGAGCCAACACAATTAGACACAATTTTGGACGATCCTAATTTCATAACCTCCCAAACTCCATTATCGCGTCTCATGTTCCATTATCTCACACCCTATGGATGCCGCATCGATCAATTTAATGTTTCCTAATAAAATCACGTGAACAAAGTGTTCGTCAATAACATTGTGTACGTCCCGTGTTCAAAGCCACTGTGTAATGGTATGTAAGCACCTCACTTGTTATGTGTTAATGTTTGGTCTCTGTCGTTCAGTCGATAGTATCGATTTGTGTATAATCGATTTCGTTTAGTCTCTTTAATTCGGACTGTCGAGTGGATGTTCTCAAGAAAATTATCAGTAGTCATAACATAATAAATAAACTAAAATAGAGATAAAATGATATTTATTGTGTAGTGTCTAAATAGACTTAAAGTTTATTTAAGTATAATCGATTAAAATGCTTTCCGATTTGATACGAATCGATAGTATTGACTGATTTTACGACAACGAAGTACATAATGTTCGTGTAAGCGGAATCAACACGAGGTAAGCACAGCACGCCGATGCATGAGGCCCGCCCACACACATTTAAATGTTGTCTTAATATGTCATAGTAGAGTTAGAGATCAACATATTTAAAGTTCTTTGATTTCATTGTGACTTTGACTGAACTCGCAAATGCTATAATAAATTTAATTTTGATGGTAATGCTAGTAGCATATCGAGGGTAGAAAGGTTGTTTGTTTTAATTGACAATTCGCTTACTACGCGACATTTATCTTTTTAACACTAATCATACCAACACTTACTGGTACTTATTTCTACCATAGCGGGTAGATAACGATGTACGACAAGTATTACTCAAAATAAACAAAACAAAAAAAAAATAGTATAATAACTGTAGATTAATTCGTAAGAAAAAGTCATGAAATACATGAAATTTTCAAATTTTTCAGACAGAATTCAAAAGTTTAAAATGGGTCATTTGATTCGCTATGGTATGCTTAGTGTTAAATAAAGGTGCGTTCTATTTGGTATTAGCAACACCAGTTCGATGTTTTTAATTGAACTTCAATTAAGTTTACCCCATTCAAATAGCAGAAACATATTTTTTTGTTATTATATTTCTTTCCAAATTTTAAACTTTAAATGGCTCTCTTGTAAAGTTGCAAAAATGTCGCTAAAACCAAAAACCTCTCGAAATTATTAAATAGATTAATTTTATCACTGAATGACCAGTGAATAAAAACAAATTCAATTTTGGACATAAATCACAATGAGAATAAAGTTCATTTCCATATGTAAATGTAGTCGTCGCTAGTTTGAATTCAATTTCTATCTATTCCATAAAATCGGAACATTAATCGATATTTTAAACTAAAGGTGTTTTAAACATAGTTACTAACCGTATTACGTAAAATGCATGCAGTAGATTTGGTAGGAGCTAAAAGACGAACGGAAAAAAAAAAAAAAAAAAAAAAAAAAAAATTGTCCCCCGTCGCACCCGCATCGTGAGATGTGCACACAAATGTAAGTTCTAACTCGATTATAAATAAATACCAAAATCACCTGTCACTGTAAAAAAAAAGTCTAACCTATCAATCACTATTTTCCTTATTAATATTTATTTATAACTAATCTCACTTTGTGTGCGAGCATGTAGTGTGTTCACGTGTGTTCGTGTAGTGTTTGGCACAGATTGTAAGCAAGGTTAACAAATCGAGACGTTTGGGAAACAAAACAAATAAAATATAGCGTTTATTTTTCTGTTTTATAGTCCAATGGGCAGTTAAAATCGGCTACTTACCCATATAAGTACCTGTTGAGTTACAAAAAACAGAGATCACGATTACGGTCATAAAAATGAGCTATCGTCTCTTAATTATGTAACTAAAAAAAGTGCTGTCAACCCTAAAGATAAAGATTACTATTGACTTTATTTGTTTGTTAGGCTGTTTGTTTGTTTGTGTTATATACACGATCGATGTTTTATTGTCGTTTGAGTTTAAACTTTATACGGCTCTTGACGCTTCAGGTCTGATTACAAAGTCAATGTACTTAGCGAATTATTTGGCAGTTGATTCAATAGTTTTAAATAATAGTAAAATAATAGTAATGCTATTATTTGTAGTAGATTTTTTTCTAAATTAAAATTGATCAAGCTCTAATCATAAGACAATGGGAGATGTAACCTCAGAAAAAAAAACTAAAGGACACATCTCATAAAAACGTTAAGATTCCTAAAAAGTCGGTATCGATCTCATAATGTTTCTGAAAAAAAATTAAAAAAATAAAATAAATAATAAATAATAATAAATAATAAAAAAAATAAATAAATAAATAAATAAATAAATAAATTCAATTAGAATGACGCTTTACTAATATCCGTCTTCTTGTGTGTCTGTCTGTCTGTGTGAAAATTTAAACTAACATTTTCTTACTGTCACACGTTATCGTCTGTTTTACGTATTTTATTATGTTCATTATGTGTTTTTTTTTTATATATTATTTTTGTGTATCGCTCACATATTTTGTATTTACATTATTATATGTAACTACGTTTAATTTTATTAAAATATGTTTTATTTTTTTACTATAATTAGGATAAATTTCCGTTCTTAATCTTATAACGATAACGGTGAATATCTCTTCTTCAATGTAACATGGCAACCTTGCAATTGATTTTTTTTTTTTACTTTTTTTTATTAAAAATTAAAAAAGCAACAAGCGAGCCATCGATGTCGCTTGAAAACTAAATTGTGTGCAAACTCTTGATGTGTTGCATGTTTGACACACGACAGCTGTCAGTTTGACGTTTGAAGTGACATTTCGAAACTGACAGCTATCGCGTGGGACGGCCGATCATTATTAAAACTTAATATGCTTTGATGGATTTAGAATGAAGATTCAAATTTTTTTTTACACTTTTTTAATAAATGTTTTTAATTTTTTTTCGTTAATAATGGTCGGTCAAGTGTTTGTGTACGTTTTAACTAATGCCCGAATTACGGAAATAGAGTCGGTTGCAATTCGATATCTAAGTGAATTGAATCTAGATACACGTCTATTCTGGTAATTTTTTTCTTAAATATCAGCCAGCTGACCTAGTTTTTTCCCAAATTAAATTCGTTAAAGCCCTAATTTGAGGGTAGATATTGGTTTAAAAATGATAATTGCCTATCAATTTGGTTTTTAATTAAATACCAAAGTATAAATGGGAATTCATACTAAATCAAAAATGTCGATAAGTTTTCAATAGATACTTCTGAAAATCTTTAAAAAGATATCCATGAAATTGAAGACAGTAATAACAGACGATGGAATGTTCGCGTGAAATCGCACATAAAGCATTTGTATTACGGGCGTTAGTTGCGTGCACTAGCTTAGTGTCGGGTGTGACAGTGGTACCGCGAGACGGCGCTCAAGTTGCGATTGGTTGGCAAGGCAGCGAGACTCCTAGGCGAGGACACTGCGAAACTACACGATCCAACGCATCACCAGCAAATCGTATGTATAATAACATTATGATATGATATAATATAATAATGATATGACATAATATAATAATGATATGATATAATATAATAATGATATGACATAATATAACAACGATATGATATAATAACATTATTGCTTCGACACGCGGCTGGATAAGGGCTATGCGATTGTGATTAGAGAGAAAAGAAATGACACTTGTAAATTTTAGAGCGTCTAAACCAGGTTAATCGTTATTATAGTACAGGAAACCCTGGAAGATCGACCTTCATCTATCAGATAACCATATGAGACTTTTTTTTTTTGATCATATATAATTTATTAACAAACATGCCTATGATAACTTGAATGTTTAAAATTTACATAGCTATTTTTAACTGATTTAATTTTAATAAATTACACTATATGTTTTTTCGTAATAGGTTAATTAGATTTAGCTTCGTATCGAGATATAGAAGGGAAGATATGAAGTTATAATACTTGTTGTTGCGAAATAATGCTGATTGTGTTGAGATTGTCCAAAAGTATTACTATTGTGATTATGGATTACAGTTTTAATTTAGAAGTTGTGTGCTGTGCTTTTACGGGCGTTTTATAGTGTCGATTCGACTAATTCAGACGCAAAGCTCTTATTCGTGCTTATTTGAGACAGCAAGAACATCGTAAGTTGTATAAATTGTTCGTATTCACAAAAAGCTTGTGAGATTTCAGGTGATGCATATCAGTTGAAAATTAAAAACTCACAAAACTTATTTTACGATGTTTTTCGTTCTCATATTATATTACCATGTACATAACTATCGGTTCTCGATCGTATCTCGCATTGAATTTTAAACGACTTTCGTAATTTTGGAATATGGAATTCGTTTAAAATTACAACATGCTTAAACATAATCTGCATACATTTTACGCGGTATGGTGTCTATGAACAGTTTTAGGAATATATATACTAATGAAGCTTTTAATTTCAAGCAGCCTACTCGAAGTGTGTGATCAAGGTTTGTTACTTAGATAAGAACCGGTTAAGGTTACGTAACACAGAGGAACAATATTCTTAAATTCTTAATTACATTTAAAATAAGCTCAGAGTTCGAACGATTTCCATTTAATACGTAGGTTTCTGAAATTGGTGCTAAATTACTCTTGAAATCACAAAATTATCGAACACAACGAATGTTAGAGTTCTTTAATTGTTAAATATTATTAACTGCAATTACTCCCGACTCGTAACATTAGTTGGGGCAATATCGATTAATGGGTTTAAATTTTTCGTAATTAAAATATAAATTCGCATCGAACGAGGTGTTAACAAATTAAGCATCAATCAAAATATCTAGATTGGGACGAGTATCTTTAGCGATCGCTTATTTGAATTGTAAATCTCTGGTTAGGTGGAACTCTGCGTGGAAACCTTAGGCGAGGTGTTGACGCTACTCGCTCGCGATGACGTGGGACCCGTCGAGAATGATCGAGCGGAATTAGCTAGAAGACTACTGCCCACAGTATTGAAAACGGCCACCGTGATGATTCAAGAGAGGGGGACCGAGGAACATCCTAGCTCGTCCAATGAGAACATTGTTGTGAGTATGCGTTACTCGCGTTTATTGAATTGAGACCTTTAGCGCTGTTTATTTTGGAAGATGACTAAGGAATCACTGGAGAATGGGCAGAAGCATTCTCCGTGTACCATACCATCATATTGCGATCACCAACTGCTATTTACTGGCAAAACTTATTGTGGATGGTAAATACACGGATTCCACTCTCCTAATTTATGCCTTGAACTTAGGATGCGTTCTTTCTTGAAGAATGTGACGACCGCTATAGAATGCAATTGAAACTTTTGACTCGTGTCTCAAGGTGAGTGGCGGCATCCACGTTAGGTCTACGGACTTCGGTAGCCTTTGCAAAGCGGGTAGGACGTTAGCTGCTTCTTCCATTTAAGCATAGAAATAAAATAGCTCATGCCTCCGTATTCCTCCTACGATACAGAGAGCACACTCCATTAGCTACTGTTTGTTAGCTTTATCAAAGACTAGTTGTACCCGTCCGCTTCGCTGGGCATTTCAACTTGACATTATTACTTCTCGCTCCCACAAAGATTCTCATCATTAACGCCCCCGCAACTGGTGTAGCGAGTCCAAAACACTCATATAAATATTATCTATCCATTAAGTACATGTATTTTCTACATGGATACCAAGTTTCAAGTTAATCAGATGCACAGTTCAGTAGTTATAACGGAACATCCGTAAAACCACTGTAGATTTATATATTAATATAGATATAAAGATATATTTTATCAAATTTAATATGATAAACAGTATTTTTCTTTTATTTAAAACCACAACAGCGACGAATAGTTTCGGTACTGGTCGACATGGTGCGACAAATGTCCGAAGATCAGTATTCTATGGTGGTGAAGGCGCTTGAAGTGGAAAATGCCGGCGGATCGGGCTCCCTAGTCGACGACGCGCTGGGCCTGATAGTAATGTTGGTTCAGCGACCGGTGTTCAGACCGCATTGGGCGGATATGCTACATCTACAGCATTACGTGATGCTTCATGCTCTGAGGTAAGAGGTTTGAAGGTTTGAGGTTTAATGTCGTCGTGGCCTAAAGGATAAGACGTCCGGTGCAATCGTATCGTATCGATGCAACGGTGTTCGAATCCCGCAAGCGGATACCAATTTTTCTAATAAAATACGTACTTGACAAATGTTCACGATTGACTTCCACGGTGAAGGAATAAGATCGTGTAATAAAAATCAAACCCGCAAAAATTGTGTGATTACTGGTGATGGGATCTCTTGTGAGTCCGCACATGTGGGTACCACCACCCTGCCTATTTCTGCTTGTGGGGCAGCCGTTGTAACTATACTTGAGACCTTAGAACTTATATCTCAAGGTGGGTGGCGAATTTACGTTGTAGATGTCTATAGGCTCCAATAACCACTTAACACCAGGTGGGCTGTGAGCTCGTCCACCCAACTAAGCAATAAAAAAACAGTTTCTTAATAATAAATCGTTGCTCAGAACTGTTTTGAGTGTCTCCGTGATCGACAAGTTGAAGATTTTCGATTTGATCGTGAACTATAACATGTACCGACCTCAAATTTCAAAGCAAATGTGACGATTTTCTAAGTTACTGCGACGATAGATTGTCCTTTCAAAGTTACATTTTCCTTTAGAATTGATGAATAGATTCTTTCAACGGTAGTTCTAAGTTGAAAACTTAATTTGGTGTCCACAAAAGGCTGCTGTCAACGACCATTCAAGACCGCCTCAACACGGCCGAAGACACGGAGTCACTGGCCAAAGTCCGCGCACAATGCAAGGCCTGGTTCAGTGCCGGGGCGGCCCTGGGCACGTCGGCGCCTCTCCAGCTCGAGACCTTGACCGCAGCGAGGAAACAACGCGTCAAGCAACTGTACGGGGACATAAGAAGGGGCTTAGCGCAATGCCTCAGCGACATGTGGTACAGCTTGGGTATGTATTACCTATTATTACTGCCGTGAAGCAGTAATGCGTTTCGCTTTGAAGGGTGGGGCACCCGCTGTAACTATACTGAGACCTTAGAACTAATATCTCAAGGTGGGTGGCGCATTTACGTGGTAGATGTCTATGGGCTTCAGTAACCACTTAACACCAGGTGGGCTGTGAGCTCGTCCAACACATATAAGAAAAAAAAAGTTATTGTCATATACATATATTATGACCTCACCTTGTATATGTGTGGTCTCCTAATCGGGTCGGGCCAGTGAAACAGCTGATGGCTTCACACAAACTTGATTTTTATTGTCTTTCTTAATGCTAGTGGTCCCTCAAAATTCGACTGTAATTACTAACTTAAACTATAAGCTTGAACTTGAAGCTTATTATGGTTCAATTGTCAAATACTAATAAACTTATATAATCACAGATGCCGCCAAGATAACACTAGACAAATAATATTAAAGACAAACAATACTAATCTATTCTCAATATGACCACAGACTAACGCCAGGTGGGCTTTGACCTTGTCCACCCATCTAAGCATAAAAAAAAGAAGTAAACTTAATTGAAGTTCAATTAAAAATTTCGAGCCGTTAATATCAAACAAAAGGCAACTTTAATTATAAAGATAAATGTCGCTTAAACTTAAGAGCCTTACACCTGTCGAAATCATTTCGAATACCTGTGCTCATCCGTGAACACTGAAACTGTATTCAATTAAATTTAATTAAATTAAATTATTTATTTATTTATACTTTATGCACAAAACAAAAGTTGTACACAGGCGGACTTAATGCCATGGGCATTCTCTTCCAGTTGACCATAGGGTAGTGCAGAGATAATGCATGGTAGGTGCATTAACAAAAGAATAACAAACAACAACAAAAAACATAAAAGGAACAAAATCAAAACAAACAATTTCCTTAAAGTAACATCTCAATATTATAGAATACACATATTATTATAAGTGTATTTTTATCTTTAACAGGCGAACACAAGCGCTCCTTCATACCGTGCCTCGTCACTCCGTTCCTCGAAGTCAGCTTCTTGCGCGACGACGAAGTCCGGAACACTACAATACCGATATTCTTTGACATGATGCAAACAGAATACAACCACAGTGTTGCCGGCGGAGAGAAAGGTAAAAGACAAATGTGCGCGTACAACTTCACGCACGTGAATGAAGTGAAACTTCTTTTTCGTTGTGTAGTATTGTGGTTTTCTTCATTTTTCATCCTTAAATCAGATTGCTCTTGTAATAGGGAATGCTGTGTATAGGAGATGAGACATTTTCAACATTTGTATTATATATATTTTAAATTATAGATAGAAAAATAAATAAATATATTTTTTTAAATACCTCATTAAAATATTGGACACTACTCTTTGCTAACGATCTCGCTGGCCTGTAACAGGTATACTACGCGCAAATTTTGGGATTCAATGTTTTTTTATGCACATTAAAAAAAAATAGCATCCTGCACTCCTCTTCTAAATTTTCTATAAGCGTGGCAAATTTTATGCTCGTTCGTACGCGCAATTTTCGTAAAAAGGGGTACACAGTTTTTGCTTCACGTATTAATATATACATTACTAGCGACCCGCCCTTGCTTTTTATTATTGCTTTCTCCACTATATAATGGATGTTATTATACATATAAACCTTCCTTTTCAATCACTTTATCTATTAAAAAAACCGCATCAAAATCCGTTGCGTAGCTTTAAAGATTTAAGCATACATAGTGATATAGGGACAGAGAAAGCGACTTTGTTTTATACTATGTAGATTATAATGCGTTTTACAGAGAATTACTTGAAGGAGCTCGAGAGCGAGCTGATCGACAAGCTAGACGTGCTGGTGGAGCGGGGGTGCGGCGACCTGCAGTGGCGGGGGCGGTTCGTGACGTCATGCGGCGCGCGGTGCGACGCGGCGGCGGGCGCGCTGCGGGCGGGCGGGCTGGCGCTGGTGGCGGCGGCGGCGCGCCAGCTCGACACGCTGCTGCAGTACCGGGCGGCCGCGCTGCGCTCCCCGACGCCGCACCGCATGCACCTCACCACCACCGTGCTGCACTTCTACCAGGAGATCGAGCGCCCGCACATGTACATACGGTACGCTGTCAAACCCCACAACGGACTTTTACTGCTGGTAGGACCTCTTGTGAGTCCGCACGGATAGGTACCACTACCCGGCCTAGTTCTGCCGTGAAGCAGCAATGCGCTTCGGTTTGAAAGGCGGGGCAGCCGTTGTAACTATACTGAAACCTTAGAACTCATATCTCAAGGTGGGTGGCGCCATTTACGCTGTAGATGTCTATGGGCTCCGGTAACCACTTCACTTTTGAAGTCGTCGAACCCATCTCTTGCGACAAAGGGCTCGACGAGTAAATTAACCCACAGACCCAGCCCACTGAGTTTCTCGCCGGATCTTCTCAGTGGGTCGCGATTCAGATCCAGTGGTAGATTCTGCGAAGCATGGCTCTTGCTAGGGTTGGTGTTAGCAACGTCGTCAGGTTTGAGCCCCGTGAGCTCACCTATTAGTTAAGGTTACGCTGATAATATAGCCTCTCAAGGCTTAGGTAGGGGAAAAAAAGTTGAATTTTGGAACACGTATATGTATTGCAGGTACGTCCACAAGCTGGCCAGCATGTACCGTGCGGCCCAGCAGTGGACTGAGGCTGGGCTCACGCTGCGGCTGCACGCCAAGCTACTGTCCTGGAGCCACGACCCGCTCCCGCCCAGACTGCGCCATCCCACGCTCAACCACGACGACCACACGACACATAGAGAGCTAAAGGTAGACTGAAGAACCACTTCTTGTTCCTTACAAACTTGTTTGATTGATGGGTGGACGAGCTCACAGCCCACCTGGTGTTAAGTGGTTACTGGAGCCTATAGACATGTACAACGTAAATGCGCCACCCACCTTGAGATATAAGTCCTAAGGTCTCAGTATAGTTAGAACGGCTGCGCCACCCTTCAAACCGAAACGCATTACTGCTACACGCAGAAATAGGCAGGGTGGTGATACCTACCCGTGCGGACTCAAGACGTCCTACCACCAATAATTATGGTTCTTCTTCAGTAACTTATTTTATTTTTATGTATGTTTTAGTCTTCTAGTTCTATTAGAAATAGATTAATCTCAGTATCTTTTGATTCGTCTTTCCCAAAATTACGAGAATTTTATAGAACATTAATACTTTCTAATGCACAATGTATTTTCAGGAGCATCTCTATTTTGAAATAGCTGAGCTCTTGAAACGCGGCGGTCTCTGGGAGCTGGCGGTCGATATAGTCAAAGAGCTCGTTTCGGTTTACGAAGAGGAAGCTCTCGGCTACGGGCCGCTGGCGGAACTGCACAGTCAGCTGGCGGAGTTCTACGCTTCGATGCTGCAGTCGCGGAGGTCGCATCCGGGATACTTCCGGGTCATATATCACGGGAAGGGATTCCCCGAGATATTAAGGAAACCATTGGTTAGTGATTATGTTTTAAGTGCTTGCTTAACTTGGAGTTTCTATGAAGGATCGAATCCGGAACGAGGTTATCCGACAGAGAACCACAGTTATCGACATAGCACAGCTGATTAGTAAACTGAAGTGGCAATGGGCTTGCCAGCTGACCATGTTAGCAGGACCGTTGGAGAAAATGTGTTTTTGAGTGGAGACTGCGAATTAGCGAACGTAGTCCAGAACGCCCTCAGGCTCGGTGGAGATCGATCTATGCAGGTCGGCCGACAAGAAGTGGATGAGAGAAGCCGAGGATGGTGCTCAGTGGCGTGCAATTGGAGAGATCTACACCCAGCAGTAACTGTTATACGCTGGCCCCTCTGGTTGGTTTAATGTCTCCGTCCGCCTAACCAGTGTAACCGTCCTGTCTATTCCTGTCTCGAAACAGCCCTACGTTCCGGTCTGATGGTTGGAGCAGCTGTCATACAATAGAATAATAGATTTTGACCTCATCTCGCGGTCAGTGGTTGCATTGATGTCGTGATATCGAAGAGTTACACTACATCCGTCACAGCAGGTTGTCCGTCACCCATTTAACAATAATAGCTTCGAAATAATTTTCAATAATAATCTTTGAATAGCGTGACACAACCCTATTGTGTTTACTTTAAATATTTAATTATCATTAGGGCTGCCTCAGCACGATACTGTCGCAGGGCTTCATATACCGCGGGAACGAGTACGAGCAACTCCAGGAGTTCATAGAGAGGATGCTGGACGAGTGGCCCGACGCGGAAGTGTTGCCGCGCCTGGACCCGCCCGGCGAGGATATCACGGAATCCGAAGGACAATGTATCCTTTTACGAAAGTTTTCACCTCGAAAAAGTGCCGATTGGGATTTTTTTTTATTGCCCTTGTAGGCAGACGAGCATACGGCCCACCTGATGGTGAGTGGTTACCGTCGCCCATGGACTTCCAAGCCGCTGCCTACTGCAAAATACCGTCGATTTTAAGATGTCTTGTATTGAGCGGGGATGCTTTGCGTCGAGCTGGTATGTAGATATGGTTGACCGTGATCTCGACATTGGAATCCTAATGGCAGTCTTTCAAACTGGAGCGCATGATTGCGGGTTGACTACTACCGAAGTCAATGAAACCTCAGTTGATGAGACCTATGAGACATTTTATTCAACTTCATCTCAATTGATTACTGTATCAAATAAATCAACCTCATATCTTTTTAGTGCATATAATTTTTTATATAACATTATAAATTAATACTTAGGCTGTGTGGTGCGATATACCTTCGCCGTAACCATTCGAAAAAATGGAATTACGATGTGATAAAATCCTTAATATTCAAACATTAGATCTTCAAATAAACGCCGTCGATCCGATAATGAGCGATAAGCTCAAACGTTTGTCGGGCAAACCGGTCGCCGAACAGATCCTGCAGTACTACAAGCACAACGACGTCGACAAGTTCTATTTCTCGCGACCCTTCGACCGGCCTGGTGAGGATCAATCAATCTAAACATATTTTTTTTATATTTTTTGGTATCACGACAAAGGGAAGACCTCCCACCGAGCGGGTGATATTGCTCGCTAGGCCGACGACGGTCTTAATGCTGGTTTTCGGAACTTGTATATTATGCAAGCTCATCTTGAAAATGTCGCAAGCTAGTGAAAGGCATCTGTCAAATATCTTGTGTTGTATGACGGCTAACTGTCACACATCGACTTAGCAGAACCGAGAATCGGTGTGTTTTTTTTTCTCTTATAAATATATACTTTGCTGCCACCTACCGTTCGTCTTTAGAATTAACTCGCCTATAACTTTTTTCCGAATGTTGCTTATTGAACGCCGTCACCTTTCGCTTGCCGTGGCATATTTTAGTATATTTACAAAAGCAACAAAAAAAAAAATTTATGTCTTAATATCGTTTTCACGATGTAAAGAATTATCACACAATTTTTTTTTTTCTTAAATATTTCTTTACCTATGAAGCTGTAGTTTAACAATACTGGCAATTTGAAACGTAATTTGTTTATGGCTGGCAATACATTCTAAATTCAACAACATTAGACTTTTTGGCGGGAACGCGAGGAGTGAAGTTGTGTGATTTGTTTTATTTTGTCTATTTAGTGTTTCTTCGGGTTTAAATGTGTAATAATGGTGGTTTATTAACCGTTTAATATCTGTGAAAGTGCACAAATGTGGGAAAATGAAACAAAGCCGCTGGACGCAACTTCTCGGGATCCTCCAAAAGTCCACTGAAAAAATCTTAGTTAATGACCACCATTTTACTAAGATTATATTTCATCCCATATCATCTCATTTCATTTAATTTCATCCCCGTTGATTATATCTCAAATTAATCATTTTCATTTCATTTCACTCCATATTATCATTTTTCATAAAAATAAGAATATAAATTAAAATAAGACATGACTTAAAGGTCTTAGTTACCAGGTCATAAAATCACTTAAAAAAACAACATTAATTGCGTGTTCGGTTTGAACGCTACAAACGAATGCACGAGTCGCGTTTGCTTTTAATGCTTAAAAAAAAAAATTAACTCCTGCGTCACCCGATAACTAAAGTTGACAACGACGAATTAAAGGCGATAGTGGAAGCTGATGATACTCGATCTACTGTTGTTAGCTAGCAGTAGCTATCAATGGTAGCATCATAACAATATTGGCCGTTTTTTAAACAACGGTTAAAACAACGAAGGTGTGTTCATACCCGATCATGTAGACCGAATGGTAAACAGTCGACGTGGCCCTAAACACTTCATTACGGATGCTCCCGATCCATTAACGGTGCATTTAGGTACCACAAGCACCGGTCACCGTCCTCGCCGAACCCGTCATTTGCGATGAAGGGTTCGACGAGTAAATTAACCCACAGACACAGCCCACTGAGATTCTCGCCGGATCTTCTCAGTGGGTCGCGTTTCCGATCCGGCGGTGGATTCTGCGAAGCACTGCTCTTGCTAAAGCCAGTGTTAGCAACACTCCGGTGACCTCACCTACACATGTCAAGGAGAAGCTAATATAGCCTCTCCAGGCTATCAGTATAGGTAGGAAAAAAAAGGCATGTTAGCGTCCAGTAATAGTATATTTGTATTCTTGCAGAGGAGTCGCTAAGCGACTCGACCGAAGATTTGAATAAGAATGAGTTCGCGAGACGTTGGCTCGAAAGGACTGAACTAGAGATAAGCGACAAATTGCCCGGTGAGTGTATACACGTTAGTGTATCGTTAATAATATTACACGTGTAGACGCTGTAGACGGTGTAGACCGACCTGTTGACTGGTAGCTTAAGAGGCTATTCCAGCTACGACCGGATGGGTAGGTGAGCTCACGGACTCAACCTGAGTGAATTGAAGACATAACTGGATGAAGGAGATATGTTACAACATACTTTTATTACTTGTACTTTTTCTTCTTACATAACTGCTTCATCACGTGCTATTTCTAAAAATTGCCTTTAAACCCGGAGTTTTAAGGTCTAATATGGTTTATAGGCACATAACACCTTCATTCAATGAAAAAACTTAAAAATCTTTAAATAGTACACAACCCCTTCATTCACTCATGTCTTAAATTGCTAACACTGGCCCTAACAAGAGCAGTGCTTTGCAGAATCTACCACCGGATCTTAATTGTGACCCACTGAGAAGATCCGGCGTGAACATTATTTATCGATCTCCGTAGCCCATCGAGATCATTAGCAGTCGATAAAATTGAACTATTGGCAGTTGAATGAAGATTTATAATTCGAATCTCTATCACCTCAATAGTTTTACTAACGTCAATCCAAACACAAAGTCGTTTTGTTTGTTTTGTTCAAATTTTCAAATCCGATTCAAAAAAGTACTCTGTACTTGGTTTGTTACCTGTTGACGCAAATCGATTTTGTATTCGAATGAAAAAAAAAACACCTCCAAATCTTGAATGTCAAACTTCTTGTGACGTAATATCGATTCCTATTTTGATTTTTGCAGGCATCCTGCGTTGGTTCCCGGTGGTCAAGCAACGCACGTACTGGGTCTCGCCCATCGAGGTCGCGGTCGAGTCGTTGCGCCAAACGAATAGGACCCTTAAGTCTGTAGCGTTTGAGGCCAGGAACCCCGACACTCCCCTCAATCCGCTCACAATGAGATTATTGGGTAAGCGAATATGTACCTTAATGACTGCAGTTACCCAAGACCTCACCGCGGTGGTTGACGAAAACTGGTACTTATAGCTTTCTGTGAGAAATTTGTTTTTTTGAAGTGAAACTTCATTAGGTGCGTTGAAGCTAAATTTAACTCGCGACAGATTCGTTACGGCTAGAGAGAAAAGATACAATTTAGGTAGAGCGAGTGAGAAAATAGATAGAGCGTCTCGCGAACCAATCGACCGTGGAGAGAGGGATAGGATAAAGCGAGCTAAGTCGTTTCCCTTATACACAACATTCCCTATTACGAGACAAATTAGATTTAAGTATGAAAAATGAAGAAAATCGCAATACTACACACTACAAAAGAAGTTTCACTTCTTTCACGAAGTTGCACGTGCACGATTTTTTTTTTCTCCCAACATTTCGTTTTCTTCATGCTTGCCTAAGTGAATGAAGAAGCTCACAGCCTCCCTGATGTTAAATGGTAATGCTGCCACCCACCTCGAGACATGAGTTCTAAGGTCTCAGTTTTTTTAGTAGAACGACTTTCGCGGCTTTCAAACCGAAAAGCATTATTGCTTCACAGTGGTGATGTTTAACTAAGCTACGTCACAATCCGAATATAAGCCGCGCCATTAAAGAAACGAATCGAAAATGGCGTCAATGTACTTGCACTGACAGATGGTAGGGTCAACAAATAAAAAGAAAGAAAGAAAAAATTCTCTATTGTAAAAAAAAATAAAAAAAAATGAGAATTTATTTTCTTTAATTTCTCGAGATTATTTTCCTCTTCAAAGTATTTAATAACTTTATACACGATCTCTGGTGCATCACTGTGAAAGACTTTTCCTCGTTTGTGAGAGGCCATATTATTTACCAGTCAGAACTGATATTTTTTTTGCATGCAGTACGCGCCGTGTGCGACTAAAGACAGCAATAGTTTAGAGTGAGAGCGCATGATCGCCGCCGCCATTTTAGATTCGTTTCTCTATTGGCGCTGCTTATACACTAAACTACGAGGTTACGTCACGCTTACGTCACGCTTACGTCACGCTAACGTCACGCTTACGTCACAGGTATCCTCGACTCGGCCGTGCAAGGTGGCATAGTGAACTACGAGAACTCGTTCCTGACCCCGGCCTACGAGAGCCGACACCCGGAGCACGCGGCCCTGCTCGTCGAGCTCAAAGATTTGATCGCCGACCAAATACCGCTGCTCAAGTTCGGTGAGTATCTCCCGTCTCACTCTTCATACGTTTCAGAGTCGTCGAGTGGGACAAGGACGGCAGATTCTGTGTTCTGAACTGCACATACCGCTTGCCAAGTTCGGTGAGTGTCTCCCGTCTCATTCTTGATTCGTTTCAGTCATCGAGTGCGACAAGGACGGCAGATCCCCTAGAAACTACAAATCTCTTGACTGCGTGCTCGTATTGGCTAATCTCAGTCGTAATATTCTCTCCGGTTTATCGCCGGATCTTCTCAGTGGGTCGCATTTCCGATCCGGTGGTAGATTCTGCGAAGCGCAGATCTTGCTAAGGCCAGCATTAGCAACACTTTCCGCTCGAACCCCGTGAGCTCACCTACGCGCTAGGGTAACGCTAGTCTAGCCTCTCAAGGCTTTCATCATAGGTAGGAAAAAAAAAAATTACAAACATACACCCATACACTCTTACAAACTTTCGCGCTTATTATATTAGGAGGATAATGATTGTGATATTTTGTGTGCTTTAGGCTTAGACGTTCACGCCAGCCGAGCTCCGCCCGCGCAAGAGGAGATGCACGCGCATCTCATGGAACGGTTTCGAACCGTACAGAAGCACGTGCACCAGAGATACGGCAGGAAGGTTCGTTAATACGTATCGTAATAAGTAGAGGTCGGAGTAAATAGATTGATTTAAAGTCGTTGACGTCAAACGTAGAGGATAATATGGATATGCCTCCAAAATACCGGAACTTCATATTTATTATGATATTTGTTCCGAAAATTTGAGGTTAGCATGAATCTGTGCTTAAGGTGAAAAACGTACTAATAATATTAATCTACGCGACCAGTTCTAGCTAATGGTGAAAGAAATCAGTATTTTTTTTTATACAAAAACACCTTGTAATAAGTTACACCGTATTTTGTCCCTTTCTGTTGAATTAGAAATGACGCTTGTCAGTATGAGACGAAACTTAGGGCATTTTGTTACTTTATCTCATAAATATAGAAATTGTATTCGATGAGGATTAAAAATATTTTTTTTTTGGAGTTTACTCCTTAAGAATCGATTTACATATATAGGCCCGGGGTATGAAAATTATGGGGACCAAAATCGTACTAGAGAGTATAGCATGTCACACGAAATGCGTTATGCGCCTGATTGGCTCCTGATTGGCCAATCAGGAGCCAACGCGCGGCCGCGTTATCGCAGGTGACGCCGGGCTGCTGCGCCGGCAGTCCGCCACAAAGCCTCGTACTGATCGCGCGTTTCTCTCATTATTGTATTTTCATATATTTGTTAGTCGTTTGTTTTGTGTCTCGTTAATTTGTTAATAATCTGTAGTGTATCGTGTTGTCGTAATATAGAACTATTTCTCGTATTGTTTCGTTTAATTTACCGACATCGTTTTGCTTGTGGCCGGACGCCGTTCGGGTTCGATTCCTGAACGTATCAACTGTTAGTGGGTTGATACCCGAATATAACCCGCTACAAATCATTTATTAATAAAGCTTATTAAATATAAACAATTCCTTCTATCAGTGAATGGACAACTTATATATTAATTGTAAAAGTGAATTATATAGACTTACTTAATTACCGCATCCACGTGTTCCGCAACTCCCGGATCATTCTCACTAGAATACGTAACTTCCATATTTTACTGTATTCAACTGACACAAATTTATATTTATATCCAGTAAACTCCAGTCGTGCGTCGGAGCGGACACACACACTTTTTATTTTTCAATTTTAAATAATTTTAAATAATATCTTGACGCAAGTATATAAAACAATCTACCTACTCCGACCACTGGTAATAACCAATCGAATTGTTGAAACAACTATACTAGACTAGATTTTATTCTTCTGTAGTAGTGGCTGTCGATGGATGGGGTCGTGTCTCATCGACGTTCACTTACAGGGCATATCGAGCGATGTTTCTCATCATTGGAGGCAGCTGTTGGCATTGCGAGCACAATTTTTTTTTATTGCTTAGATGGGTGGATGAGCTCACAGCTACAACGTACATGCCGCCACTCACATTGAAATATAAGTTCTAAGGTCTCAGTATAGTTACAACGGCTGCCCCACCCTTCAAACCGAAACGCATTACTGCTTCACGGCGGAAATAAGCAGGGTGGTGGTACCTACCCGCGCGGACTCACAACACGTCCTACCGCCAGTAATTACGCAAACTATAATTTTGCGGGTTTGTTTTTTACTACACGATGTTATGATATTTGTTCCAAATTTTTAACTGTAAATGGCTCGCCTGTGTTATTACAAAAATGTCGGCCAGATGATCGCGTGTCACTTATTTATTTACAGTGGATTTAACGATGATGGCTTGCTACGATTATGACAAATAACTGTTAATTGCTTTTGTCAGAAAGTTCCAGAATAGATCAACGTCTTCTTTGTATAAGAATTTCATCACAAAAAAGTATAGAAAATTATTGTTAATTTTTAGACTTGCGACTTTGAAACGGAATCGCAAGAAGTTCAACTTCGGATTACTCTGAGGAACAGCCTGCACACGGACACCGCGAGTACAGTCACCAACAATCGTATGTCTGACATATCAACCGGAAACGAGTAAGTCTTAGCTACATATTACTTTTGTGGCCGATAGTACTTGAGAGTTAGTGTGGTTGTAAATATTTTATTTCAGTAAAAGCTCTTTATTCGCGCTTTCTTCACATTAATAAAAATGTGAAATGGACCTTATTACAGCTATACCTAAAATATATTGTTAAATGATATCGTCGCTGTTATTAGTTCTACCTTAGATAAGGTCCGCGATTTGAGAATGTTTTTAAGAGATTTTATGACCTGGTAACTGAGACCTTTAAGTCATGTCTTTTTTTAATTTATATTATTCATATTTTTTATGAAAAATGATATTATGGAGTGAAAAGTGGAAAGTCACAGCATCAATTATTAATCTTGGTTTTTTTTTCAGCGTTTCGTCTAAGAGTCCTGGTAGATTCACCAGTTTCAACAGCGCCATAAACCAGTTCGCCAGGTACAGTCCTCTATACTCTATATACCGTTTTTGGGCAATGAAAAGAAAGCTTTATTTAAACTGACATTCGGTCGTGTTTACAATCACAGACAGTTGTTTGAAGACCTCGGTTTACTGATTACTGTACTAATTACGTACTGATTGTTAATAGCATTTTTTTTATTAGCATTAAAGTTGTGTATGGACACCACCAAAGTCAAGCTGCTGCTTAAAATAAGCTAATAATTTCAATTTAAATATCGAACGAAAAGAAAATTAGCCGTTTGAATTTCACGCTAGATGAAAAGTGCACAATGACGTCATTGTTCACACATCTACTGATTACATATATTTCAACTTTTTTAGATGCTGTTAATTATTTCGTGAATACACATAATATTAAATTCTATTGTTATTTATAATCTTGATTTTACTTCTATCCGATGTCATTTCAACTTTAAATTAGTCTACTGTAAAGTTCAAGCGTTGATATGTACACATATGTCTTATGTATAGATTATTCTAATTCCATGATAGCGTTCACGTTTTAATGTCAAAGGGCTGCTAATATCGACCGTGAGATAAACGCATTTATATTGCATATTGAAATTGTATATTTATGTCTATAGGAATAGCAGCGGCGGCGTTGCAAACTATCTTGGCACCCTACAGAATCCACCGAAGAAACGTAGTAAAGCACGAGCCGGAAGAAAGGTATTTTAGTTTTTTTCCCTACCTATGCTGATAGCCTTGAGAGGCTATTTCAGCTTCTCCTTGACGTGTAGGTGAACTCACGAGGCTCTAACCGGGAGTGTTGCTGCCACTGAGAAGATCGGATGAGAAACTCAGTGGGCTGTGTCTTTGGGTTAATTCCCTCGTCGAACGCTTCGTCGCAAGCGACGGATTCGGCGAGGACAGTGACCAGTGTTTGTGGTACCTAAAAGCACCGTTAATGGATCGCGAGGATCCGTAATGACGTGCTTATGGCGACGTCGTCTGTTTACCATTCGGTCTACAGGATGAGGAATGTAATTCCGGCGGCCACGACAAAAGGCTTTTCATGTCGTGCCTCCTTTTCAAAAAGCGGTTGAGTATTATTTCCATACCACGTGATATATTGTATATTATACTCTATGGTTTCGGTCCACAGATACTATTAAGATTAATTTGGCGGGTACTTTAATAGTGTATATTATTATGTGTGTTTATGTATTTCTTTGCTAATTTAATTTTTCTTTTAATGTAAACGTTTTACTATTTAATATTGAATAGTGCCTCAAGTGCGTGTAAATTAGCGTAAATCTTTCTACTATTCTATTTCATGATGACGTCGTGGTCTAAGGGATAAGACGTCCAGTGCATTCGTGTTGAGCGATGCACCGGTGTTCGAATCTCAGGCGGGTACAAATTTTTCTAATGAAATACGTACTTATCAAATGTTGACAATTGACTTCCACGGTGGAGGAATAACATCGTGTAATAAAAATGAAACCCGCAAAATTATAATTTGCGTAATTACTGGTGGTAGGACCTCCTGTGAGTCGGCGCGGTTAGGTACCACTACTCTGTCTATTTCTGCCGTGAAGTAGTAACGCGTTTCGGTTTGAAGGGTGGGGCAGCTGTTGTAACTATACTTGAGATCTTAGAACTTATCGCAAGGTGGGTGGCGTATTTACATCGTAGATGTCTATGTCTATATCTTATTTACAGAGCGAAGTTGGAACTCAATCGAGTGGCTCCCAAAGCCACTTCTACACTTCGCACGCGACGGTCAATGGCAACGACGCGCGGTCTCTATCCCACAACAGCGGTGTGTGCAACACCCCTAACAGCGTGACGTCATTGAACGAAACCCCGATGATGTCGACGTTACGCGAACTGCGGCAAGAGGTGAGACAGTAGTCCGTTCACTCATTCGTTCATTCATTCGTTCTTTCACTCAACCATTCATCGTTGAATGTTTTGTAACCTCTGTATATAACTTGTGTTTGTAAATAACATTGAATTAAAATTTAGAGTGTCCATATCGCAATACGAATTAAACAAGATTAAAGTTATGAATATACTTATATAAATATCGAGTTCAAATAGCTGAAGAAGCTTTTTTTTGTTATTATATTTTTTCTTCAAATTTTAAACTTTAAGCTCTCCTGTAAATTTGTAAAAATGTCGCTTAGCCTTTCACCCGTCTAAATTTATGCATATATATTTCTTCTGTGCGCGTGTTTGTCACTGAATTCCTCCTTAACGGCTGGACCGATTTGAATGACTTTTTTTTTGTATGCGTTTGGGTGGGGCCCTGGATGGTTTAGATTCACAATCAATCAGCCCGGCAGATGGCGCTGCAGTCGGTATCTAGGTTATTGATCTATACTGCAACTAAACGGCTGGATCGATTTTAATGAATTTTTGCAGGACGTCTGTCGGGTTTTAGTTTTAGTGAGTTCGTGCATAATGAGCGAGTTTATAATATAAACTAGATGATGACCGTTTTTTTTTTTTGATAACGCCATCTTTTTGTGTCTTTAAAACGGTTAGTTGCCCTCAAATACGAAAAATAGTATGATAAAGTTGATCATTGAAAACACGAATAAAACAACATTTTCTGAAAATAAATCGTAGCTAGATCGATTTATCGCCCCTGAAATCGTTGGAGCCGTTTCCGAGATTCAGATTATATATATACAAGAATTGCTCGTTTAAAGGTATAAGACAAAAAGAAAGATAGATAAAAGAATTTGGATGCTTTTAAATTAGCATGTGATTCGGTCGTGACTCCTAAGACGGTACGGAGCGAACATATTATGTGTGACACTTATAAATTAATAACACTAATATTGTTCCTGGTGAGGTTAAGGTTTTTTTTAATTGCCTAGACTGCTCACTGGTGCTGGAGAAAGAGGGAGAGAGGGAGAGAGAGAGAGAGAGAGAGAGAGAATACACTTTATTGCACACCAAAACACAATTTACATTCCAAAAACAGTCAAAAAGCAGATAGCTTTGTACAATAGGCGGTCTTATCGCTAACAGCCGTTTAATTTAGAGAAATTCTGAAAAATATTAAAATATAGTAGTAGGTATGTTGTGGTGTACCATTGACATTGCACCGGTGTTCGAATCCCGCGGGCGGGTACCAATTTTTCTAATGAAATACGTACTCAACAAATGTTCACGATTGACTTCCACGGTGAAGAAATAACATCGTGTAATAAAAATCAAACCCGCAAAAATTATAATTTGCGTAATCACTGGTGGTAGGACCTCTTGGGAGTCCGCACGGGTAGGTACCACCACCCCGCCTATTTCCGTCGTGAAGCAGTAATGCGTTTCGGTTCGAAGGGTGGGGGTAGTCGTTGTAACTACACTCGCGAGCAAAAGTTTGGAATCACTTACTTGAAATTAGTTCCGCGCGATCTCGTGTACTAATTTTTTTTTTAATAATTATAAAAATTACATCGTTTTAAAGGTTCAATTCTTAACTTTAAATTGATACTAAATTCATTAAAATCAAGCCAGTATTTAAGAAGCTATCCCGGATTAAGTGAAGGAATGACGAAAAAGACGTGTTTCAATTGATTGATACGTCGCGAGTTACGACTTATTGACCCCTATAAAAGCACCTGTTATCGGATTTTCTTTATCAGTTGACTTTCACACGTTGACCGGTACACATCTCCGCTAATTTTGATCCTTTACCTTGTACGACAATGGAGACAACACCTACAGAAGCAGCACAAATCGTAGACCTATTGCAAGAAGGGCTCAGCCAGCGGGTTGTCGCTCGTCGGCTCCACATAAGCCAGTCCTGTGTTTCGAAAGCTTACAAGCGCTTTCAGGAGACTGGTGGCTTTATCCGGAGACTAAGATCTGGACGGCGCCGGTACACATCGGAGAGGGATGACCGTTTTATCGTGCCCACCTCTCTCCGAAATCGGCATTTACATGGTGTCGACGTTCAACAGGAGTTCCGAGATATTCATGGGGTAGCAGCCAGCGAGTGGACACTTTGTCGACGACTCAAGCTAACGAATCTGACTCCCAAAAAGGCCTCCCACAGGCTCGAAACTCACGGTAGCTCACCGACAAGCACTCCTTCAATTTGTTCGCACCCATCTTGATTGGGAGGTTGAGCAATAGAGGCGAGTCCTGTTCTCCGACGAGAGCAGGAAGTGTTTGCACGGTAACGACCGAAGAGGTCGGGTCTACAGGCGGCCTGGGAAGAGATTTGCGCAGTGCCGTTTCGCTGAAACAGTGGCTTATGGGGGCGCCATTGTATGATGTGGGCCGGCATTTCCTTCGATGGTAAAACTGAGCTTGTTTTCGTGCCTGTCGGGGGACGAGGAGGTGGTCTAACTTCGGCCTGGTACATTTCCAATATTCTGCTGGAACATGTCCTTACCTATGCTGGATATATCGGTGATCACTTCCTCCTTATGCACGATAACGCTCGTTGTCACACTGCCCGTGTAACAACTGTATACCTCGAAGAAGTCGGTATCGCCACATTGGACTGGCCAGCGCTCAGTCCTGACTTGAATCCCATTGAGCACGTGTGGAATGAACCGAAGAGGAAGTTTCGTCCCAGAACTCCTGCTCCTTCATGTCTGAATGAGCTGAAATCGGCGTTGATTTACGAGTGGGAAGGTATCCCACAAGAATCAATTCAGAAGCTGATCATGTCTATGAAGAATCGTCTTCGAGCAGTTATTAGGGCGAGGGAAGGGAACACAAAGTACTGATACTTAATTTTAAGGCTAAATAATTTCTTTTACTTATTAATNATTTACGAGTGGGAAGGTATCCCACAAGAATCAATTCAGAAGCTGATCATGTCTATGAAGAATCGTCTTCGAGCAGTTATTAGGGCGAGGGAAGGGAACACAAAGTACTGATACTTAATTTTAAGGCTAAATAATTTCTTTTACTTATTAATTTTTGTTGTTTTGTTCATTCATTATTTTTCCATATTTCCTTGTTTTCCTACCTCCTTTACTCAATCAGGGATAGCTCCTTAACTACCGGCTCGATTTAAATGAATTTGGTATCAATTTAAAGTTGACAGCTGAACCTTTAAAATTATGTAATTTATATGAGAATAAAAAAAATATTTAGTAACCAAGCTCGCGCGGAACCAATTTCAAGTAAGTGATTCCAAACTTTTGCTCGCGTGTATATATTGAGACCTTAGAACTTATATCTCGAGGTGGGTGGCGCATTTACGTTGTAGATATCTATGGGCTCCAGTAACCACTTAACACCAGGTGGGCTGTGAGCTCGTCCATCAAGGCAATAAAAAATAAATAAAAAAACATTATAGAAAATATATTCATACAATAAATAGATATATACCGTTTACATTTAATATGAAATTACTATTTGATTTATATACCAATATAAAAACTTACATACTAATATACTTAAATACATAATAGTTATGTGAGATTATAGATAAGAAATCGTAAAAGTATTTCTTAGTATGTATGTGAGATCCTCTATTCGATTCGGGGCCAATAAAACAGTTTATTGCTTCACACAAACCTTATTTTAAATCCGTCTTTATTAAAAAAAATTAAGGTAAGTAGGAGAGCATGAGTGAGTGAAAGAGATAGATGTCGTGGTAGAAGGTAAGGGAGACGGTGAATGAATGTTTGACATACTGGTTTTATTTTATGCGACAGGAGGAATGAGGATAATTACCGGACGCGGAGGGAGTATAACTCTAAAGACAAACTATTTGTGTATTTTGTTTACTTTCCTATAATAAGGACGGAATTAAAATCAAGCTTGTGTGAAGAAATCAATTGTTTTATTGGTCCAAATCGAATAGAGGATCCCACATCTACATATATAAAGTAATGACAGTAAAAGTGATTAAAATAAAGTGAGATAAACCATAGGAGTGATTTTAATTATGTCTACGATTCCTATAAACCGAACATAATTCTAAATATAAATGCGTTAAGACTATATCGAGGGGTGGAATGCTTTTTGGTTTGAGCGACATTTTTGCATCTTCACAGGAGAGCAATTTTAAGTTTAAAATTTAGAAAAAATATCATAACAAAAAATCTTCTTCAACTATTTGAATGAAGTAAACTTAAAGTTCAATTAAAAACATCGAACTGTTGATGCTAATACCAAATAAAACGCACCCTTAATTGCAAAGATAAATGTCGCGCGTTAAGCGAAACGTCTCAATCAAATAGCCTTTTAATTTTTTTTAAACGGATTCTTTGACCTGGTAACTAAGACCTTTAGGTTTTAAATCTTATTGTAATTTATATTCTTAATTTTATGAAAAATGATAATATGAAGTGGAATGAAAAGAGATGATATGGGATGAAATATAATGTCAGTAAAATGGTGGTCATTTACTGAGATGTTTTCAGTGGAATTTTTGGAAGATCCCGAGAAGTTATGTCCAGCGGCTTTGTTTCATTTTCTCACATTTGTGCATTTTCACAAATACTAAACAGTGAATAAACCACCGTTATTATACATTTAAACCTGAAGAAACACTAAATAGACAAAATAAAACAAAAACTACACTCCTCCGGCTCCCGCCAAAAAAAAAGCCATACACCCCTCGATATAATGTTGCCATGGAAACGAATATTGTTTCCTTGAGTTTGTGGGAAATAACATTCATTCCGGCTGCCTTACTCTCGGTATTGTGGTAATTTGATCATGTGAATAAACTCGACTAATACTCATGTAAGTATTTCGTTCTGCTTAAACGTTTTGCTTATAAACATGACACTCTCATAAATCTCTTAACTCAATCCATACGCAGTCTTGCCAGCTTTGAATAATTGGATTCTTACCATAAATGTTAACCTATCAATATCAAATTAATGTGTACTGTATAGATATATGCGTGAAGAAAAAGAATGAGTGCAACAGGTGCTCATTAATTTAAACTTGTTAATTGAGTAACATGAGTCCTCATGAGCACTCTCCACTTTACAAATGTATGACTTTCAGATCTCTTGATAGACGTCGTGGCTCAGTTTTGTCTCTGCGGCTTATGTATTATAAAGGCGAACAATATACTATTAGAGTATGATATCTGTCGGCTCTGTCTATTTCTCATTTAAAAGAACATTAAATTAATACCATTTAGATGTACTTTGTTAATAACTAATATAGAACAACCGTAAATTCATATTTGTAAGGTTTTTATTTTTTACATTAAAATTCAATTTAAAATCACAATTGCATTTGATAAGGCACCTCGACAATTCTCTCATTAAATAATATACAGGGTGAATTTTTCGAGTCGTCAAAGACGCTAACAATTTTGTTTCTGAAAAAAATGTCGAAATGCTTCTCCCAACTTAAATATTTCAATTGATATCTTAAGGTAATCTTAAGGTAAATAAAAAATCACACTCTGTATATTGATAATCAAAGTTTTAAAGCTCGAAGCGTACTCGAACAAAATCAATGTAGTAAAGAAGTTAGTAACACAGCATCCAAACGCAGGACGTTTTACAGCTGGTCACCGAGCGACCGCTCCGTGCCGAGGTCGAACGCGAGAAGAGACTGTCCCAACGGGCAAGTCTTTTGACCACTTCTTCCGCACCGCCTTCCAACAGAGACTCGATTGGTACGTATGTGTAGTCTGTATCGTTTGGAGTGGAGACGCTTGGTACAGCATAGCGTGCATGTCTTTGAAAACGACAGGAGGCGCGAACTGGACGACAAACAAAATAAATTGAAAAATGGACCGCCTTCCACCATTTTTTACAACTTCGTGGGTCTTCTGTTTGCGCACGCTTAAGAACAAGATAGGCTACCATAGCCATATTAGAGCGCATGAGAGGCGCGGACATTAGCTTTTAAGTTATTGAACTGAACATTTTGGTCGCCGTTGCCGAAGCCGGCTTGGAACCATGATGATGATGATGATGTGTAGTCTGCATAGCACGATGCACAGTTTTATTCATAGTGTTTCTGGTGTCCATTTTGAAACTAGGTTAGCGTCAACATGGTGGTTATTTTTATTGCTTAGATAGGTGGACGAACTCACAGCCTACCTGATGTTAAGTGGTTACTGGAGCCCATAGACTTCTATAACGTAAATGCACCACCCACGTTAAGATATAAGTTCTAAGGAATCAAGTATAGTTACAACGGCTGCCTCGCCCTTCAAACCGAAACGCATTACTGCTTCAAGGTAGAAATAGGCAGGGTGGTGGTAGCTACCCGCGCAGACTCACTGGAGGTCCTACCACCAGTAATTACGCAAATTATAATTTTGCGGGTTTGATTTTTATTACATTTTATTCCTCACAGACGTAAACATTTACCTCTAGGTGCTACGTAAAAGTTCGTGTGTTCGTCGAATGGAAATTCTCAGAGATAACTGTTTGGAACTCTGGGTCTGCGGAGGGACTTCGGTTCCCTCTGTATTTTGTACCGTATGTTCCATGGGGAGTGCTCTGAGGAACTGTTTGAGATGATCCCTTCATCTCCTTTTTATGATCGCACCTCCCGCCATCGGAGCAGAGTTCATCCATATTATCTGGAACCGCTGCGTTCATCGACAGTGCATTTCCAGAGGTCTTTTCTGCCACGTACCATCCGGCTATGGAATAAGCTCCGCTCTACGGTGTTTTCCGAGCGCTATGACATGTCCTTCTTTAAAAGAGCCGTAGGCAGCGGCTTGGCATTTCTGTAGTCCATGGACGACGGTAACCACTCACCATCAGGTGGGCCGTATGCTCGTCTGCCTACAAGGGCAAATAAAAAAAAAGATGTAGATGTAATTAAACTTAATCATCCCCAGGCACGACCGATTCGAACCAGGACGAAGAGCTGCCACCGCCTTTGCCAATGAAATCCCACCGAAGCATGGAATTGGACAATGACAGTAACAATAACGCCGATCCGACACCATTACCGGTCCGCCACAACTACGACACGGTTCTTGCGCCGCGAGGATCATTCCTGTACAACTCGATCGTGCACAGAAGGAACACGAATGTAGAGAAGGCGCCGACGCCCCCACCTAAGAAACGTAATGCTCAATGAGGAATAACTTATATTGTTGTCTAGTTTAAAGGAAAATACCTCTTAAATATAACTAGGTGAGGTTTAATTTACTTCCCCGCTGTAGGGTATTCTGAGATTACTTCCTCGGAATTTCGTGTACAGGGTGTTATGAAATCATGTCTCACTTAATAAAACCTGATAATACATGATCAATTTATTAAACCAACCGTAAAGACTTGTCCGTTCTACCATAATCATGTTTTTTTTTTCGGAACGGCAATGTAATACGTAAATTATAGTATCCATTGCGTGCTATAAAAAAAATTAGCTTATCGTAATCATATTTTAAAAGGCCGATCTGTCTTTGTTTTTCCATATCCAATTCTATGTATGACTGTCTCAAGTACTGTTTCCGAGTTGTAACTAATAGGTGAATAGTTTGTTAACAATTATTACTGCTTAGATACTGTGTACGGTGAATTATTGTTGAGTAATTCCTTAATTAATAGATACATATATAATTAATTTCATATATTAAGGAAATAGCTGATCCTTAAGATCAGGGTCAGGATAATGGGAAGAACTAAATTATTAAGCTAAACAGTTGTCTGCCAAATTTGGAATTCAATCAGTCTTGGAGCGTGTGAAAATCGCGTTCAAAGATTCGCGTTCCAAACTCGCATACAGCGTGTTGCCAAATGACATTTTTTCTCACAAAAATTAACTTAAATAAATCTGATTGGATGATAATAGTATTCGTTATATCTGCATGTTAAATTGAAATTGTTTAACGGGTTCTTACTTCGACTTAAATTTTAGTGAGTAGATATTTAAGGGGTGTTTGCAAAGCAGACATGCTTTCCGTTGCAGTCATTGTTCTACACAGTCGAGATTACGACCTCACATCCCAAAGTCTTCCTTCCTTTAGTGGGTCGTGAGCTTATCCATCACGGAAATAAAATATGTTAATATTATATTACTGGACCACATATTTTTTCATGGACAACAGTTTACCTGAACAATGAAGATAGGCATTCCTTTTATTTAATTTAGACGTTGAAAAAATTGTTTTCGCTGCCATAAATAAAAGACCAAAAAGAAATTCGATAAATTCACTTTAGAAAAAAACACTAGAAAATAATTATTTAGAGAGAGATTTATTTATATATTTTGTAGCGTTTTATGGAGAGTATTGTTATTTTATTTTTAGATTTATTTTAGCGGAGGTATCTTATTCAGTTAGTTTAATAGCGGTCCATTTTTTCTGTTACATTTAAATCTAATGACTAACACAGATTAGAACACTAATAATTGAAGACGTGAGTGGATGAAGGGGTTAAGTATAATTTTTAAGATTTTTAAGTTTTTACATTGAATGAAGGTATTATGTGCCTGTAAACCATATTAGACCTTAAAACTCTGCGTTTAAAGTCTATTTTTAAAAATTGCATTTGATGAAGGAGTTATATACGAAGAAAGAGTACAAGTAACAAAAGCTTGTTGCCCGTTTTCTCAAAATTAACAAATTGTATCATATCCCCTTGATCCAGTCATGTCTTCAATTCACATTACTTATAATTATTAGTTCATATTTATCCGGTTCGCGTGGTATTCAAATAGATTTAATTCAAAAGTAACTTTATTATAAGTCACATGCTTTGTACAATATGTATAATTATTTGGTTTCACTATTATAACACTATTATATTAAATGTTAAGTAATCTAAACTTTACGTGTCAGTAATTATGGTCGGAATTCGAATTAAAAAAAATATATATCAACATTTTACGTCAAGCAAAATTTAACCCACACAAATCGTGATGAGAGCGATATTCGAAATTAATTAAATCCGGCCATACGTTTAGTGTCAATAGTGTCTAAATAAAAATACACTTTTGTAATTGATATTAAGATGTGATATTACGTCGTGTGACTGTTGAATGGCACAAATTAATAACTTATTACGTAAATAAGACGAAGCAAAAGAAAATATATTAATTAATAATTATATAATCATAATAATTAATTAATATTGTTTTGAACATTAAATGAAGCCCTATCGATGAAATAGAATGCGATTTAACTTATTTCCACCGCAAACCAGAATCGATGGGACCATATGTGTACGTAACGTGACGATATTTCGTCAATTGAAATGTTTATTGATAATGCAACAATTACATGGGGATATACCTAGAGAATTCAATAGATAGAACTATAAAAGACGAGTGAAATGAAAGCATTTAAAATAAAGTTTAATTAAAGAAAATAGTACATACATTGAACTGTGAATGTGAAGAAGAAAATACGCGCGTTTTATTAAAAATTTTAAATAGTTCATTAGAATCATTTACGTAACTTAGTCCGAAAGTGATTTACTGAAATCATTCGAAAAATACAAGCGAATCGATTAATTTCGAAATATCGATACTTGTTATCGATTTTCGGTTCGAAAACCCAAATTTTAAAAAAAAAATCGCGCGTTTTATTATAAATTTTAAATAGTTCATTAGAATCGTTTATGTAACTTCATCCGAAAGTGATTTATTGAAATCAATTGAAAAATACAAGGGAATCGATTAATTTAGAAACATCGATACTTTGTATCGATTTTCAATTCGAAAATCCACATTTTTCTTTTTTGTTCAAAACTACATTTTTTTTCTTAAAATGTACATTATATATTAGGAGCTGTAGATACTCTTAGTGTAATGTAAATAAGACAGATAAATGAAAATTAGTAAGAGAGAATAGTTTTAGGGACGTGGAAATTTTAATATTTCCAAAGTTACCTTATACATATATTACTTTTTTGAATAGTGAACATTAGCGGCCATATGCAAAACCAAAATTTATGAGAACCGTTGTTTATATTATATTTACAATGTAAATTGTTTAGTATTATTGACGTTGTGTGAACACGCGTAACGTCCGGCAATTATTGTGTAATAAATCACTTTATTAGAACAATGTTTGTTGTGTTTTGTTTTATACCTTTTCTGTCGTGTCGAATTCCTATCGTAAGCGTTTGCCATAAACTTCCTTTGATTTCAATCGTAATTACGTTTTGTTGTAAAGGGTGGTAGTGGGGAAAACTCTTTCTTACCACGGCAGTGCGCTGGTTCAATATTTTTGAAGGAAGTTGTTGCGGGGGGCGAGTATCGCTAAAGATGCACAAAAAGAGGGGCAGGCCGAGGCTAAGCTATGAGGAGTAGACGTACCTGCCAACCCGTCGCTAGCTTCTTCCTGGCTGCAGAATTCAACGTCACTGCTGAACGACGCGTAATGGCGGCGGCTGGCCTGACGACTTGACACAGCACTCTTCTAAATTATTTGTCCATAAAACTGGTATACCACTCGCGCAACGACGAATATGATCGTCAGTAAGAGTTCGTATAATAGAAAACTAATAAGAGTACAAAAATTATATAGGTTTCAAAACAAGCGGCGTGTGCGTGTACAGCGCGTGCGGTGCGGTCGGCAATAGTCTTCTTTTTATTTTTGACTTTTGCTTTTATGTTTCTTTTTTATAAATGGCGATGCGATAGGTTTTATGTCTACTCTCATTAAAAAAGAACCAGGTGGGATAGCAGCTCATAGTAGTTGGACAGGTCATCGGGGTTATCTGTTTACACTGAGAAAAGAATATAACAGTCGATTCAAGTTAAATGCCAATTAAAAGACGAGCAAAGTCTATAGACATCGTAGTAGAGTCTGGTGACTGTTTCGCAGCGAATATAACTAGTCAGGTCATAAGTATTGTCACACAGTAAAAACTTTTCTTTTAGAATGCTGGCCACAAAAAAGTTTATTGAATTCGAATTTCGAATTGTTCATGAAAATAAAAATGTATACTTTTAGAATTTTACTCATTTTTAAATATGGAGTGGACGCTTAAAGAAGACCGTGTTGCAATTATTGCGTTGCATCGTTGCGGCTACGCGCCAATTCAAATTTTTAACATACTGAAAAATTTGAATATAACCAAAAGATTCGTTTATTGTACCATCAAACGATACAATGAAGACTCTAGTGTAGATGACAGGTCAAGAAGTGGTCGCCCTCGGTCTGTTAGGACTCCAGCAGTGATAAAAGCTGTGAAGGCGCGAATTCAAAGAAATCCCAAACGTAAGCAGAAACTGTTGGCCCTTCAGATGGGGTTAAGCAGAACCACGGTGAAAAGGGTGTTAAATGAAGACTTAGGGCTTCGGGCATATCGAAGAAAAACAGGACATCGTTTGAATGCTCGTCTAATGGACCTGAGACTGAAGAGATGCCGCGCTTTGTTGAAGCGGTACGCGGGAAAAAAATATCGGGAAATTCTTTTTTCGGATGAAAATTTTTTTACCGTACAAGAGAGCTACAACAAACAAAATGATAAGGTGTACGCACACAGTAGTGCAGAAGCGAGCAACCGTATTCCGCGTGTCCAACGAGGTCATTTTCCATCCTCGCTCATGGTATGGTTGGGAGTTTCTTATTGGGGCTTAACAGAGGTACATTTTTGTGAGAAAGGTGTAAAAACGAATGCAGTTGTGTATCAAAATACAGTCCTGACGAACCTTGTGGAACCTGTTTCTCATACCATGTTAAATAACAGGCACTGAGTATTCCAACAAGATTCGGCACCAGCTCATAGAGCGAAGAGCACACAAGACTGGCTGGCGGCGCGTGAAATCGACTTCATCCGGCACGAAGACTGGCCCTCCTCCAGTCCAGATTTGAATCCGTTAGATTACAAGATATGGCAACACTTGGAGGAAAAGGCGTACTCAAAGCCTCATCCCAATTTGGAGTCACTCAAGACAGCCTTGATTAAGGCAGCCGCCGATAGTGACATGGACCTCGTTCGTGCTGCGATAGACGACTGGCCGCGCAGATTGAAGGCCTGTATTCAAAATCACGGAGGTCGTTTTGAATAAACTTTAGTGTCCTAAGAATCTATGTTTTGTTAAGTTCATTTTGGTATATGAACGGTTACATAATGAATAAACTTGTTTCAATTATTTTACATTAAACATGTGACAGAATTTATGAC